TCCCAGAAAACAGGGCGATGTGTTAGAATCCTATACTTCTAGGGTTAGAATGTCCCTTATAGGTTATTCATCAGAAGTTTTCATTCAGTGCTTGAATCCCCTATGCAATATCCCAATGAAGCAGTTATATATCTCTAATGCTAGATATGAAGTCTCAAGGCAGGCAATTCCATTCATCTTTGGGAACATAATAATGCCTGAGAATATTTTATGCATGGCAAGTGTTTAATATGTGTTTTCCTGAAGAAATAATTTATATATTAAATGCATATATGATGCAAAAAAGAAAGAACACCTAGGTATGCTACTTCAATCAGTCTTTCAGAACCAGTTTCTCATCTGTAGAACATAAAAATAATTATATTTTCCCACATGCTAGGCAAGTGCTCTTCCATTGAGCCACATCTCCAAGTCCCAATAAATGAATTTTTTCCCCCTGTACTGGTGATTGAGCCCAGTGACACTCTACCACTTAATTACATACCCTGCCTTTTCTACTTTTTGTTTGTTTTGACACAGGATCTTGTTAAGTTGCCATGGCTGACCTCAACCTGTGATCTTCCTGTGTAGCTGGGATTGCACGAATGCTAATCATAATTATTATTATCATCAATTTAATATCTTCCCAATAATTAATTTTCATAATCACTGCTTAACTCAACTTGGCTTCCTCCAGGTTTGAGTAGAATTTTTTCTGTGGCTAAACAATTCAACACCCCCAAATAGTTTCTGGAAACTTCTGGGGATCCCAGGGAAGAAAACATAAACATGACTACACTAAATTACTTAAAACAGCTTAACATGACATTTCTAAAGAAAAATAACCCATAAGTTTCAAGAGAAAAATGGTGACTGTCTTTGAATAAGCAACATGACAAATTGTGAGAGGGATAACTCCTGGACAAAGAGGTATATAGAACTTTCAGAATGGATAGGGGCCTGATACTGATGCAAGAAGGGAAAATAAAAGGCTAAAAGAGGTTTTCTTTGTTTCCCTCCCTCCCTCTCCCCTCTTTTCATCTATTTCCATTTCTTTTTCTTTTAAATGAAGGTGTATATTATTAGTGAGGGAGAAAAATAGAAGATAAGTTGTTCTGTTATTGTGGAAAATACTCTCCCAATTAATTTTGGGGTGAAAACCTCTTTTCATCTATTTCCATTTCTTTTTCTTTTAAATGAAGGTGTATATTATTAGTGAGGGAGAAAAATAGAAGATAAGTTGTTCTGTTGTTGTGGAAAATACTCTCCCAATTAATTTTGGGACAGAAAGGAAACAAGAAAACATATGGAACATATGGGATGAACAAATGAGGATCAAGTAAACAGAATAAGCAAGAGGGGAAAGGTCATGAGTTCATGGAAAGCAATCTTCTGTACTTGAATTCTGGGCATAAAAGTAATCAAGGTAAGCAAAGGGAAGGCTGAAGCTGGGAGAATGGGTATCTCATTCTAGCACCACTTTCTTGAACAGGCCTAGCAGAAGTCCTGCTGGGTCGTACACAAAGTTTTAAGGTTTTAGCAGCATACTACTCCTGCCAGCTTCCTTTAACTTTTAACTCTGCTATCAGTCTTTTTTATGTCACAAGGCTTTCCTCTCAAGCATGAATGTGAGATTCACTACTTGTTTGCATCTCCTGATGTATATAAGAAACCATTCTGTTTATTGTGCAGTTTGGCAGTGTGCGCCAGAATGGGCAGTGCCTGTCTGTTACAGCTGTGTGACCTGTGAAAGCCGTGCCCTATTGGAAACCTGTTTTCTATCTTACCCCCTGCCTTTCAATATTTTCTCTTTGAAGACAGGACTTATACTCTGTACTTTTAACAAAGGTCTCTGGCCAACTTTTCTCACCTAAGATAACCTCATTCTTGGCTCACTTCCTCCTAAACATATTTCTTTCTCCTTTACTTCCAAATTTACATTATTCAAAACTTTCCAGGGGCTGGGGATGTGGCTCAAGCAGTAGCGTGCTCTCCTGGCATGCGTGCGGCCCAGGTTCGATCCTCAGCACCACATACCAACAAAGATGTTGTGTCTTCCAAGAACAAAAAATAAATATTAAAAATTCTCTCTCTCTCCTCTCTCACTCTCTCTTTAAAAAAAAAAAACTTTCCAGTTAATAATTCCTTTGCAACAATAACAAATATAAGATTAGCTACAAAGCCACTTTTTAAAAAAGAATTAATTAGATTACAATATATAGTCTTTGGGAAATTCTCTGTATGTAGAAGCAATGAAGGGCAGTTGGAACACTAGAACCTCAGTTACAGAAGTTCTACCTTTAACACCAATTGAACAACCGGGTATAATGGCATACACCTATAATCCCAGCCACCTGGAAGGCTGAGGCAGAAGGATCTCAAGTTCAAGGTCAGCCTTGAAACTTGGTGAGAACCTGTCACAAAATAAAAAAAAATAAAAATAAAGAAAGAAGAAGAAAAAAGAAAAATCCAGCTAAATTTTTTCAAGACCTGTGACATGAGCAAGTCAAAATCTCCATAGGGCCAACGTCCTCACCTGTCAAGTGGAGAGAGTAAATATATCTAATGTGAAAGATAATATCTATCTCACTGTCTTGTGATGAGGATGATATGAAATAATGTGTTGGAACATATTATAAATGGTATAGCACAAAACATTTTTGGCAGAGGTGTGACTGATGGCCATCCTTTGACTGACATCCTGGACTCCTACTCAAATTGAGCTTCTGTCTTTGCCTTTTGCCTAATATAAATTGATTCTCTTGTCTCTGAACTTCCATTGTCATGCCTTTTCAGGACTCATATCTCGAACACCCAACTGTTGGGTATATGGATTCTGCAAGCACAACTTTACTCTTATCTTGAGAGCAGTTCTGTGAACAATCTGTGAACAATCTTCCTCCACTTGGGTCCCACATATTACCTCCAATTAAGATCAATGAAACTAGTGACATTCACTCCTTCCACCTATAATTTTCTTCATGCTCATTAGTAATAAGAAATGAAAATAACATCTCCCTCATAGAAAGGTGGGAAGGTACATTCATGTGAACACTGCCCTATATTTCTTTCCCTTTCTAATTAAGCTTGAAAAGAATGATCTAAACTTAAAATTCTACTTCCTGACTTCCAATTCCATTTGTGACTTTTCCCTTTAATTTTTAGTGGAGTTGTACATGCAGTACCAAAAAAGCAATATAATGGAGAAAGATTTATAACGAAAAGTAACAATCTCTCCTTCCTTTTCACCCACTTCTCAGAGCATCCACTGTATTTCTTTTTTGGAACGTCTGCTAGTTTTCTCCCTAACATGAATTAGTATCTTTATGTTGCTGTTTATTGAGCATCAATTTAAAGCATTATTTACTAGGAAAGAGGAGGATTCATGCCCTCCTACTCATTTCAATTTTAGATACTTATCTTAGTTCTTCTGTTTTTCTTTATACATCAATTTTGAGGTATAATTTACATAAGAGAAAATGGAATTATTTGAAGCATCCAGTTAGCTGAGTACTGACAAATGGCATACCCATGTAACCATCATCAATGTCAAGATATAGAACATTTTTAGTCCCATAAAATCTCCCAGTGAGCCTTCCCTTTAAAAAAACTTTAGTTGTAGATGGACACAATACCTTTATTTTATTTATTTTTTAGGTAGTGCTGAGGATTGAACTCAGTGCCTCACACATGCTAGGTAAGCACTCTACCACCAAGCCACAACCCCAGCCTCCATATGCCCTTTTGTAGTCAAGTCTACCCTTGCCTCAGCCCCAGAAACTACCATTCAGTTTTCGGTGACTACAGATTAGTTTTGTTTATTCTAGACTTTTTTTTTCTTGGTGTGGGGGGGGGATTAAACCCAGAGTGTTTAACAACTGAGCCACACTCCCCACCTCTTTTTTCTATTTTATTTATAGAAACAGAGTCTTGCTGAGTTGCTTTTAGGGTCTAGGTTGTTAAAGCTAAATTTGAACTCAGGGTCCTCCTGCCTCAGCCTCTTGAGCCACTGGGATTATAGGTATGTGCCACCACACCTAGACTATTCTAGAATTTTTTTTTTTTGGAGGGGTACTGGGGATTGAACCCAGGGTGCTTAACCACTGAGCCACATCGCCCCTTTTTTTCTGTCTTACTAAATACACCTTCGACTTCTAGCACTTTATTAGTTATATAAAAATTGCAATGCGTAGGGCTGGGGATGTAGCTCAGCGGTAGAGCACTCGCCTTGCACATGCAAGACCCTGGGTTCAATCCTCAGCACTACATAAAAATAACTAAATAAAATAAAGGTATTATGTCTAACCTCAACAAAAAAAAATAAATATATAAAAAATTTTTACAATGTATTGCCTTAAGCAACTTAGTGAAATCCTGTCTCATAATAAAAAATAAAAGAAGGGCTAGGGATGTGGCTCAGTGGTTAAGCATCCCTGAATTCAATCCCTCATAACCCCCCAAATACAATGTGTATACAAATATATGTGTGTGTATATATACATGTGTGTGTGTATATGTACTTTATCTTTCCTAAAGCACTCCTCATATATAATCTCATTTTAATGTTATCACCAAATTTTCTCCTTTTGCTGTCATCAGTAAAGGAAGAAAAGTAAAGTCTAGCAAGATTAAGTGATTTGTCCTTAGTCACAAAATCAAGGTTAGAGGTGAAAGATAGCTAGGTTCCAAGATGAGCTAGAAGTACTTGATAGAAATAAAGTTGGGAATGTAGCTCAGTGGAAGAGAGTGCTCACCTATCATGGTAAGACCAAAAAAAAAAAAAAAAAAAAAAAGCTGTCACTTACTAAGAACCTGTGTCTGTATCATAATCTACCAGGCTGACTTCAATATGAGGTTAAATTTATTTCATCAAAAAGCTACTAAATAGAAGTTAAGTTCCCAGAAAGAAGTAAGGAAATGCCCAAATAATCCTGTTCTTGTATTCACTCCTTGCTCCAGTTAAATTATTATCCTAAGAGGAATGTGAAGATGCCCAGGCAAAGCCAGGTGAACCCGCCTACCAACTGGGTGGCCATGTAGAAGGCTTGAATGATGATCTGGGGGTGAAAACCCTCTTCTATGTATGATTTCACTTGCTTCAGAAACTCTGAAGCCAGCAAGGTCACTGAAGTGGTACCATCAACAGCCTCAGCATCTTGGGACTTGGCAATGTCCACTAAAGGCTTTGCTGCAGGAAGGACAACATCAAGCAGTTTCAGAATAGTGGCCCCATCATTAGAAACTGTTGCTTTGCCTCAGCTGTTACAGTAAGTTTGTCCATGCTATGAGGACCCAGGGTGGTTCTTACAACCTTGGCCATCATCTGGCAGGCACTGCTATTGCTTACAAACTAAGGGATACCTTGGGAGCTATCAGTTCCCTCTTTCGACAGGATAATTGGTGTGGGCATCATTTTGGAAGCTTGATCAATGGCCCGCTAGTCCTCTGTTCTTCCTGTTAGGGCTACCCAGTAAACCCACCCCTACCCCTTTTTTTATATTTTATTATAGACAGGGTTTCATTGAGTTGCTAAGTGCCTTGCTAAGTTGCTGAGACTGGCTTTTTATGAACTCATGATCCTCCTGCCTTAGCCTCCTGAGCCACTGGGATTTAATAGGTGCATGCCACTATGCCCAGCTATAATTTTATACAAATGTAGTAATACATTATATACTCTTACATACCTGGCTTCTTTTACTCAATATAGTTTCTGAGATTAATCCATGTAGTTGAGTGTATCAGTTATCAATTTGTTTTTATCAATAAGTAGTATTCCAGTACATGGATGTAGCACAATTTGTTTAGCCATAGTTATGTGGTGATGAACATTTGGGTTGTTTCTGGATTTGGGCTATTATGAATAAAGACACCATAAAAATTCCTGTACAAGTTTTTCTGTGTACATGTTTTTCCTTCTTTTGGATAAATACATAGGCATGAAATGACTAGGTCACAACATGGTGTGTATTTAAATAACTTTTTAAGAAAGTCTCTTCCCTCTAGGTGTCATCCAGAAATAGAATGGCTACCAGTAAATTCTATGTATGTGATAGAAATTGCTATGTCATGTTTTAAGCTGAGCAGTAGGGGTGCTTTGTTCTTTGGGTTATAGAGGGGAGGAAGCTATGAATGCCAGAATGGGGAAGAGATTTATTTTGAGTAGGCAGCACATATAACAAAGCAGTGAAATTCTCCCCAGACTTTTTTCAGTCTCTTTAGAGGCATCCTCTATTTTTCTCCTGATGGTAAAACGCCTGTAACACTTTTTGCCCAGGAATGGAGGTAGAGGAGAGACTATGGAGAGCTTGTTAATACCATTATTTGGTATTTGGTAGACAAGCATTCAATTAATCCCCTCTGGTTCCCTTTTATCACCCTTACTTCTACATTATAGAGTCTGGAGCCTTCTAAGTGTCTTACTTTCCTTTGACATTTCCTGCCTGTAGATTCTGGGGTGTTCCTTCTCTGATTATCCTTCTTATGGAATTTGTTTAATTCACATTTGTGGATATTCCTTCTCTTGTCTTCTTCGCTTTTCCTAGTTATCCTAGTTTTTTTTTTTTTAAACTGGGGTCTTGGCAGAGAAGAAAAAACAATAATCTTTGGTCTGCAGCACTCATCCAGAAATTGGTGGTCTAACTCAGTGTAGCAATCTAATACCAGATCATACCAGTAAACCTGTTCTAGCCAAGCTCATCAATGACCACTGATGCTTACTCTAATGCTCACTTTCATCTCTCTGTAACACTTGACACTGTATGACTTCCCTCCTTCCTGAAATACTTAAAAAAAAAATCTTTATTTTACTTATTTCTTTTTATGTGGTGCTGAGGATCCAAAGGGCCTTGCACATGCTAAGCGAGTGCTCTACCACTGAGCCACAATCCCAGCCTCTGAAATACTTTTTGATTTCCACAATACTACTCTCTCCTGGGTTTCTCCTGCTGTGTGGCTTCTTTCAGTTTCAATTCCACACTTCTGTTCTCTGCTCTTCATCTTCTCTCACTTTACATGTTTTCCCTCAGTTCTGTGACTCAGTATACTCTTCGAAACCTTGTACTTGCCATGTTCAGACAGCCCCTCACCTAAGAAGCCTTTTGTTACCCTACAAGGTTGAGAAAGGCACTCTGTATGCCCCCACAGGACATAACAGACTGGTCTAGAACTTCTCCCATGGTCCCAGATTGCCTGGTTAGGGATGTTTCTTTCTCTAGTTATCAGCTCCCTGAGGCCCAGGACTGTGTTTTTATCCCCCAAAAACATACTTAACACTCAGTTGGTACTGAATAAATATTTGCAGAATTGAATTGAAATCATGGATATCAAAAGGTGCTTTGTATTTTATACATGTTATTATTGATGGTAAAAATTAGGTTTTGTACTGTGAAGAAAAAATATGCCAGGTAAAGATAAGCCTCAAGCCAATCAGAGAAAAATCTAAAATTCTTAATTAGTGTAATATAAATTAGTGATGCACATTTCAATGTGAAAATCAAATCCACTTCATTCCTTGGTACCTCTTTAACATCAAACCAATACAGATTTCTCCCATATAAAAGTCTTACTTCTATATCCATAGCACCATTCTTTACAGTAACCAAGATGTTTTGTATGTCCACTGACAGATAAATGGATAATCAAAATGCTATATGTACATATAATAAAATATTATTCAGCTTTAAAGGAATGAAATTCTGATACATATTGCAACATGGAAGAACCTTAAGGATATTACACTAAGTAAAATAATCCAGTCACAAAAAGACAAATAGACAATAGAGGCTCTTGAGTAGTCAAATTCCTAGAAATAGAAAGTAGAATAGTGGCTGCTAAGGGCTAGGGAGAGGAAGAATGGGGAGCTGCTGCTTAGTGGGTTCAAAAGTTCAGTTTTGTAAGATGGAAAGAGATCAGGAGATGGTTTAAAATATGATTATGATGGTAAATGGTGTACATTTACCACCATTAAAGATAAAGAGTTAAAAAGAAGATAAAGAGTTTCACACAAAAATGCTATATTTTATCATAATATTTGTCAAACAAATAAAATTCTGACCTATGTCAAAATGAAAATAAATTAATTAAATTGTGGAGGGAGTAAGGAGAGGTACATTAAATACCAAAAATACTGTACAGTATTAAAAACAAACACAGAATAACAGTAATAATAGTGGACATCTATTGAAATTTATTAGATGCCAGGAAAATGCTTTAACATGAATTCATTCCTTCAAAATGACTATGCCAGAAATGCGAGCTTTGAAAGATTAAGTAACTTAATAGTGGCCTCACAGATAAAAAGTGGTCAAAGAGGGACTCAAACCCAGGCACTCCAGTCTAAGCCCATGTTCTGGCCTACTATCTGCCTGGGCACCTTGGGATAAGAAGAAGATATCAAAATGTTCCCTCTGCTTTTGTTGATGAGACAAAAGAAGATAAAGTTAGTGATCTAATAAGTACCTTCTATGTGTCAAGTACATATGGCATATCAGAGATTCATATCAGATGCAGATCTGAGGGAATCCACAGTGTATTGAGAAAGGTGAATATACATACGTGTGTGTGTGTGTGTGTGTGTGTGTGTGTGTGTATAAAACAAGTCAAGGCTATATAAGCCGTGAGCTGGCCAGAAAGGCAAAATGTCTAATGAAGTGTCTCATGCAAACACACACAATTCCTAGCACACAAAATGAGACTAAATATAAACTAAATAAAATAAAATCAGTCTATTAAAATATACTCTAAAATAATAATAATAAAAAGAAGAAAACCTCATACTCTGTCTCAGAATATTTTGGGGGAAAGAAAGAAAAAAAGGTCAACTTCGTGTTCTTTTCAAAGAGAAAAACTTAACAGATTCTGGTGACTGACATTCATATCATAATAAAGAGGAAAAAGATATTTTGTTCAGATTACACTTTCATAAACAATTTTACAGGTATACATGTTAAAGTATTCCCACATTAAAGATTCTAAAAGTCACAAAATATTTTTTTCCAAAGGTAGATTAAGAGAACACACCAGGACACTGTAGTGATCCACTATTAACCCTCCAATTCAAGCAGTTTCTTTTATGTCTTTCCATTGCCCTTTAGTCCTCTCTAGACATAACATTCCCCCTGCCCACAGCATCCGAAGAAAACACTCGCTAATATGTTAATGCCAAGAGTTAGAGAGATGTACCTTGCTTCCAGAGGCTTAAATTAATTGCTATTTTCTATGTTTAATGCAAAATCACATTGGTGCCTTCTGTACTAACATATCATATAAGTTTTACTTTTTTACTACACTGGTAAGAACTATGGGAATATATACTATACCTTGTTCCAATATCAAGCCAGCTGCCATAGTCCTTCACCAGGAAAAAAAAATGCTGTAAAATAAAACAAAATGTGACTTTGTTAAAAAAAAATCTAAAAATAAAATTGTTTTAGAATCATATGTATCATATTTCTTTTGATCTTTCAGAATAACTATCTGCCTAGAATCAACCTGAATACACCTTTTACTGAAACTTTTGCTTGGACTAAAATGATCAATTGTCTAAAGCCAGAAACAGAATTATCATCTAATCAAATATATATAAAAGTGACATTTTTGAATAACTAGAAATAAAAACCAGCCAATTTATATAAGACAAACTAAATATCAAAAATATATATCAAAAGAAGCCATATCATCTATTTATCAACTCCATTCACTTAAACTGTTACTGTGTATTAAAAATCACTGTGTTAGTTCCTAGAGATAACTTCCCCTCATGAGACACATAATCTAGTGAATGATTCAAATTATCAGGTGTACCAGCATGTGAGGGAGGGAGGAAGGAATGGAGGGAGAGAGAGAGAGGGAAAGGAGGAGAGGTAAGGGAGCGGGGAGGGGGGAGTGAGTTAGTTAATTACTAGAAAATACAAGCAATTACAGAATCACAGAAGGAGGGGTGTAAGTTAAGGCTTCTCACTGAAAGGTGAAATCTGAGTGAAAAGTAAGAGTCAAATGAAATAGAGGATGAAGGGGAGACAGATAGAGAAGCATGTTTCCAGCGGAGGGAAAAGCCTACACAGGCATCAAACATTCAGATAGTTTTATAGGTTCAAAGTGAAAACCTGGTGTAAAGAGAAAATAAACATGGAGGGGTGAGAAGCAGAAGCAGATCACAAATGGTTTTGCAAGTTAAATTACACAATCTGATTCTTCATGTAGAACTAATCAGGGAATTTCAGCTCTCTTTTATTACCATGTCTTGCCCATTTCTTACTTGGTGAGCAAAACTAAAAGCTGTTTTTGTTGTTGTTGTTTGAGATGCTGGGTATTGGCCCCAGAGCTTCATATATACTAGGCAAGTACTCTACCCCTGAGCTACACTCCCAGCTCTGAAAGATGCTTTTTGTTCTAAAACTATGTATGATCAATTTCAGAAACACTGGACACATAGTTCCACAGAACACAAAATGTTCTCAACTAAATCTATTGACAAGGAAACCTGATTTGGAAGGTACTCAAATCTGTGTCCCTAGACACTTCTGACATGGGATGTTATATAGAAAAACATTAATCTTACTCCAAAAGAGGTATGGCCTTTGTTCTCAAATTACTGGAAGGTCATTTCTAGGCCTTAGGATGTCAATTCTGACAGATGTATTTTGCTTGGGGCATTAGTCACCAGATAGTCTAACAATAGGATTTATGATGGGAGTTTTGGGCCACATAGTACCAGTTTTACCCTGGAAAGACAGAAATTAAAGATCAGTCTTGTGGGTAGTATGTGATCAAGCTCTGATAAAAGACCTGGACATCAAAGCTAAGGTAAGCCTGTCTGGCAATGGTGACGTGTACTGTCATGCCTGAATGCTGAAAGAATAATGTTATCCTGATTCCACAGGAAAAAGAACAACAAAAGTTTTGCATCTGCTGTCTTCCTGGACTCTGCTCTATGCATCCTTTCCCTTGGATGATTTTAATCTATGATTTCACTGCTGTCAACCATAACTGAATATAATCCTGATCAGGGATGCTTCTAGTGAATTATCAGACCTACAAGGGTTTTGGGGGAATCCTCAAACTTATAGCTACAAAATAGATTCCTCTTTGTGTTAATACACTATACAAAAGCTCCTCACTCAGAACTCATTTATTATAATTATTATCTTGATAACTCTTCCTAATGGAAAAGCTCTATTTCCTTTTTCCTTCCTACAATTCTTCCCTTTTTTCCTTTCTTCTTTTAATCTGAAAGAAGGGGAGGGGGAAAGTCTACATTTTAAATTAGAGAATGATGTGTTACCTAAATCAAACACTAACTACTGTTAACTTCCTGTGGAAGGTTCATTTCGGAAACAAAGCAAAAATGGAAGAATAGCTATAAAATGACAGGCTTGAATAAAACAAGTAATGAGACTTTTGACACCTTATGAAGAGTTCAAACTACACACATAGTTTAGAAAAAATAATTTATCTGTGTCAGTTATGTCAGCACTTGGAACTCAGTATCTAAAGATTTCATTTGCAGAAATACATTCACATGTCTCTTGATTAAATTATCTCAGCACTTAAATTCTCAATTTTATTTATACCAAATATACAAAAATGCCTTACCAAAGCCATAATGTCTGATATCACCAGGACAATGAGAAAAAGGCTGGGAATTAAAAAAAAGAGAGAGACAGAGAGAGAGAGTGAGAGACACAATTTATAGTTAATACAACAGGCACAGTCAGGTACATTAAGATCTAAATGAAAATAATTAAATAACCCTTTAGGAAAAGCAATGCCCTAAAAATGGGAGAGTGAAAGGTAGGGTTACTCATGGCGCCACCCTAGCTCTGCGTGACTGACCTCTGGACTCCCTTTTATAGGAGACACATCTACCACCAGTTAGATTTTTGTTATAGCCAAAAACATTCCCAACAGATCATCCATACGGTACTTTTCATGCCCCACACTCCTTCTTTTGGGCCTCTACCCAAAATATACAAAGCTTTATTGATGAATCCAGTTACTAAGAGAAACTGATATTTAGAAAAGTTAATTTTAAGTCATGAAAAATAAAATAATGCTAATAAAGCTTTTCTTTTCTTTTCTTTTCTTTTTTTTTTTTTTTTGTGATGCTGGGGATTCAACCCAGGGCCTTGTGTTTGTACAGCAAGCACTCTGCCAACTGAGCTATAACCCCAGCCCCCTATCAGAGCTTTTCTACTTTACCTTTGTTCAATACACATTTTAAGGAATCAGAAGAGTACAATTAGAATCATCTCAGTGGTTTGATGAACTCAGCCTTGGAACTATGGAACTAATAACCAGGTTATTAATAGTATAAGCTACACTCTTACATTAATCTCTATCCTTTCAAGAGCTATAAGAAAATGTTTAGCAATAAAAACCCCAGGAAAATGTGCAAATGAAGGAGTGATGGTATCACTGATATTTAAAAAGTGAATATGGCAGTAAAGGATAGATGGACTTAGGCTTGTGTGAAAAAGGAAACAAGAAAGGAAACTGCTAGGTTTAATGTGTGATATTCAATCTTAGAAGTCTGTGTGAAATCCTGGGAGAAATGTCAATGTCTTGTAAGAATTTAATGGGTAAAAGAGAGTATTTTTATAAAACCTTAGTTTGGCTACCTTTAGCGTCAGTTCTCTCTCTCCCTTGGTGTTCGGTTTTTCATTGCATCAATATCAAGATATAATTACTATACACACAGGCATGCATACACACAAATATATACACACACACACATCCTGACAAGCCTTTGACTTTTCATTCCACGTGTCCCAGTTTTCAATCAAGTCTTAATTAAAACCCTCTGTAAAAAGTTTATTTACGGAAATGGAGGGCAGTACTTGTCATTCATTTTTTTTTTAATATTTATTTTTCAGTTCTTGGCAGACACAACATCTTTGTTGGTATGTGGTGCTGAGGATCGAACCCGGGCCGCACGCATGCCAGGCGAGCGCGCTACCGCTTGAGCCACATCCCCAGCCCTGTCATTCATTTTTTTTATTGCATCTGAATAACACTTCCATGTGATATTGACAAAAATGTAAATGCTTTCAATATGATATTCATATAGACATCCTGCAAAAGTATACTAACATTTCAAACTACAAACAAAATTTTTACTATTCTTACATATTAGAAAAACATTTTTTTAAAAAATTATGGCACAATAGTGTGCTAAACTAGTCTTAGGTTAAGCTCATCAAGAGCAACATTTATATTTATGTTAATGCTAGTTGTTTCTTTCCACATTTAGTATGCCATTGTGATTCAAGAATAACAAATTACGAAGAACCTTTATATTTATATCAAGTGTTTTTTGGAGAATGCCTATGCTGATAATGCAATTGTACTAGTTTAAAAAAAATAAACAGATGACTTGACAGCTTCTCTCCCAGAATCTTGATTAAGACTGATTGCTCTAGAAATGCATCAAAACTCAGAAAGAATACTTTCTACCCCATTTCTCAAATGTGTAAAAATCAAGACTAGAAACTCAATTACTGATATTTAGAAAAGTCAGTTTCAAGCCACGGAAAATGAAATGTTAAAAAATTTGTCTAATACATATTTAAGAAAAAAGCCAAAAGAAGTTAGAATGATATCCCTTGTTTTAGCAGGCACAGTTATATGTAAAAGAAACAATTAATTAATTATAATATTTAACATTAATATTTCACCCTTTGCTAGGGAAGTTCCTCACTAGTTAAATAATATTCTAATAACATTTTATTGATTAGAAAGAATATCTGTCTGCTAGAGGATCTAATCAATTAATTTCCTCTGGCAACAATTGAACTCTGATTAGAAGGGTTTTTCATTTTTGTAAGTAACAATCTATGTAGCAGGGTCTTAATAGCAATACATGAAATATCTTCAAATGTTTACTCTCACTTATTAAAAATGGGAAAATCCAATACTTCTCAATTATTAACCTTACCTTTTTGATGATAACTGTGTAGTTAACTGAACTGCTTCAAAAGCACACATGACAAGAACAAAAGGAATTAGAATCTGTTTAAAAGAACAAATGATGCCACTGGTAACTGAAGCATTTGAAACACTCTTTTAAACAAATACTTTCTCAAATAACTTTCACATATACTAGTGGGGAGCAAACACTGAAGTAAAAACATGATTCCAAGGACACAGAACAGTGATAAAATTGATTTAAAAATCTACATTAATATACACAGCATAGAAGATAACAAACATCAATACATACTCCAAATAAAAACCTATTATAAAATTTGCCATGTTTAACTCATTTTAATAATTAGTATCAATTTTCAAACCATTCCAAGCAGCTGTGAAAAGCATAGAATGCCCAAATAAAATAGATTAAGCACCTGGTAACTTGATTTACAGATCTCTAAACTCATCTGGCTATTTGATACTGTAACACTATAAATATGATTCATGCTTTATCAGTGCCTTTTGTTTTTTAAAAGATACATATTTATTTCTGGTTATAAAATTCTTATTAATTGTAATACATTTGAAAATATATAGAGAAAGGTATAAGAAAATTTATACTACTTGAAAATTCATAATACAGAGCCAAGACTTTTAATGTTTTGAGGTATTACTTTTCAATGACCAATTAAAAAAATATGTATATGTATATATATGCATACACACACACACACACACACACACACACACACACAAACACACACACCACACCATGGTGAGCATGACTGTAATCCCAGTGGCTCAGGAGCCTGAGGCAAGAGAATAGCAAGTTCAAAGCCAGCCTTAGAAACTAAGCAAGGCCTTAAGCAATTTAATGAGACCCTGTCTCAAAAAATTTTTTTTTAAAAGATGGGGGAGCAGGAGATGTGACTCAGTTTGTGGCTCAGGGGTTAAGTGCCCCCCTGGGTTCAGTCTCTAGTTAAAAAAGAAAAGACTGCATAAGTTTATTTTCCAAGTGAAGGGCATATGAATAAAACAAGGGGGGCCCTCACTGATGATGGATAAGTCAACAAAAGTCATCTTATGCATATGCTGTTAAAACTCACTGAATTATGCTGGAGATTACAGATCAGTATTCTAATGTGAACCAGTTTGCCAGCTTCCCTGTCTGTCTTTGTTTCTGTCTTATTTTTAATTAGGCTTATGGTCTTTTAATAGAGAAAAGAACAACCACCATTTAAAGAATGTGAATGAAAATTAAGAAAGCAATAACATGTTCTCAAATAATTCAATAGAGAATAGACATAAGAAAATCCAGAATATCTTTTCAACATTTCCTAAACTTAACTTTTGTATTAGTACATTAATGAAACTCCTTAAGAGAATATATACCTTTAACAATTGCTACTTATATGATCTGAAGAGAAGGTAACAATTTTAGGTAGGCATTAATTATTTTATTTAAGTAAATATGTACTAACTACATAAAATGTGCCAGAGACTATGGTAGAGGAAATTTGTTAGTGGGAACAAGAAAAGTAAAATGACCTTGGAGAAGAAAAGGATGAACATAAATTATACTTCACTGGAGAGTCTATTATCCGTGGAAATCTGAGAATATGTCATTTTTCTACTGCCAGAACTCAGGTTGTGTCTGCCACATCCATGAATGAAGCACTCAATGACATATTTTTTGAGGGAGTGAGTCAATTCTAGGTACTTGGATTATGAGGAAAGATTGTAACATGCTGTCTGTCTCAAGGTGGGGACCAGAGGTTCAGGGGACTTTAGAATCCTGAACAGCACTGCAGTTTTGATCACAGCTTCTCCACAGGCTTTAATAACCTTTGATAGGCCTTTATGAAACTAGCATGGAATCCTCTTTTGGAATCAAATACTCTTTCAGAGTAGAGCAAGAAAATTAACTGTATTTAGAAGTAAAGGGAAGAATGTACTACCTCCAGTTTAGTATTGGTGTCAATGCCAAGTCTTAAGGGTATCTTCTTTCTATGGCTACTTAACTCTATTATAATGACTTTATAATTTTAATGTCAAATTTTATATAATCTTAACATCACAATGAATTCATAATCTTAGTCAACCAACAGCTTAATACAAACAATGAAAAAGAAAACTAACCTTCCACATCATCAGGGATCCCATCATGAAAGGACTAAATACAGTCAGAAAGCAATAGACAGAGGCAAGATCAAAGCTAGGGAATATAAAAAAAAAAAAAAAAGAGGAATTTAGAATTCATACTGTAACTTTTAAAATAATATTCTGCTTAAATGATGTTTAAATTAATTCTCTATAACCTACTCTTATTAAAGCACAAGCAGGGGCTGGAGTTGTGGCTCAGTGGTAGAGTGCTTGCCTAGCCTGTGTGAGGCACTGGGTTCGATCCTCAGCACCACATAAAAATAAATGAAGGCATTGTGTCCCTATACAACTGGAAAAAAAAAAAAACCTACAAGCATACATTATACAGAGGAATATTGTAAAGCCACTGAAAATAAACAAGATAGGTCTGTGTGTGATGATACACACTAATCCCTAAAAGATATCATTGAGTATGAAAAACAAGGTACAGAACAAAAATTAGGGAAGTTCTAATTTGTATTATTCTTTTGGATATGCATGCACACACACACACGCGCAAACACATACTTTCATTTAAAATTACCTGTTAATAGAGGCTATATTTCCAGTTCCAAAAAATGCTGTCACTAAAAAGAAAACCTAAAAAAGAGGTAAGGAAATGCCAAAGCAAGTTGGAATTCATACCAATTTCATTTAGAAAAGACACGCCCATTCAACATAAGGGGAATTTACTTTTTGATTTGTACACTGATCATAATTGTTTTAACTGAATGTTTAATCATATTCCTCATATATATATTTTGAAATAACCAGCTGAAGAAGCAACATACTGAGAACTGAGGCCTGGTAAGTCATTTTGGTCACTAGTCACTTTGGGAAGATTAGTTTCCTCTTCTTGAACATGAACAAGTTGGACCTTATCTGTAGTTAGCTGTTAATGACTTTTTCAAAAGAAAAATGCAGACCTAGTACATATAACAGACACCTTCAGATGCAAGACAATTTTAGTTCTTAACCACCTGCTATGTGCCCACAACATGTGAAACACATGCTAGACTCCTTGAAAGGCTCAGAAAGAAACAAGCATGTTTCAGAATAATTCAATTAGAGAATGAGACTATAGAAAATTTGAGCATCTTCTTGGCATTTCTTAAAGTTAGATGTATATTAGTACAGTAATCAAAAATAGGTATTAATCTTATAGGTGCCCAGAGTTTACTGCTAGTAACATTCTCAAAATAATGCCTCACCTATGAAAGAGCTCAATAAATGCTAGTTATCTTATTATTATTTATGTAAAAATTGGTACAGAAACCCTAAATAAGAAATATGAATCACAAAAACTTTCAGTGAAATAGTGGCATATGAGTTGGTGAGTTGAGCTTTAAACAGATTCATGCATCCATTCATTTAACCAATTATCTAACCAACTAACATTTATTGTCTAGTATATGTCAGAGACAAAGCAAGGCACTACGACTATATAAACAGACTGATAGGGTAACTAAAATCAGTAAAGAAACAGTGGGAAAAAATGACACAGTCGAGAAATAGAAAGATATGATAGAAACTTAAAAAAAAGAGTTTACTGAAGGATAGAGTAAAAAATGAAATATGAAATACAGATTGGAGACATATTATTAAAAACCCTGAACTTTACTGTAGAAAGAATGAATAGTAGCAAGTATTTATGTGAGTCACATAATCAAGAAATATCAGTGACTGTATAAAATTCTGATCAGAAAAACAAACAATTGGAGGCAAGAAATCCACTAAGGGAGTTATTTCAGTAGTCCATGTCAGAGATAAGGAAGTCTGAATCAGTGCAGTGACAGTGAACATAGAGAGACTGTGGGGAGGCAATGGGACTTTAGAAATAGGCAAGGAGCAGTTCGAAAAATTTGTGTGGTTGTGAACATGGTGATGGCATTAAATGAGAGGAGGCCTGTCACAGAATAATTCTGGAGAGGAGTAGAGCTGATAGGTTAGAATCTATATTTGGTGATGCCCAGGAGAATGTTGGACATGTGACACCTGACGTCAGGAGAGAAGTCAAAGCTAGATTAGCAGAGGTGAAGCTGTTAGCACAGAGGTGTCTGTCACCACTATAGGAGAGGATGGCAATAACCCAGCCTCACAGAAAAAGGTTAATGGTGTATCTTGGAGAAAACATATGGTTCAACGTCAGGGAAAGGAAGGGGTTTTAGAGAGGAATCATGATATAAAAAGTTAAAAGGAGAACTTGTATAGAGTCCTAATAGTTAAGGGAAAAGAAAAAAGAAAATCAATAGAATTAAATGTTACAGCACGGTCAAGTAAATAAACGAAACTGTGAAGTCAGGAAACCCCTACATATCATTCAGAGTACAGTTTCAGCAGAGACATTTGACGAATATTGATAGAGCACTACTATGTGCCGGGCACTGTTCTAAGGCTTGTGGATATAGTGAATAGATTATAAGGAAATAATGGCAATTACTATGGATTTTTCTTTCAAGAAGTTTGGTAGCAAACAGGACAAAATACAATTGTAACTTAGGGGGATGTAGTATTGTGGGGGAAAAGTTTTTTTTCGTTAGCATTGACCGAGTGGAAAGAATCTGTGAAGACAGAGAAAAGTGAAATTAATAATGAAAACCAGGGGTAGAGAGGGGAAAATGAGAGTATTTATTTTTTTGGAAGTAAGTTCAAAGAAAATATTTGTTTATTTTATAGTAAGTTCAAAGGAAATACCTCTGATAATTACAAGCCATATATATAATAAGGGGTAGATATCCAAAATATATAAAGAACTTGCACAACTCAAAATCAACAACAGCAACAACCCCCACAAATAATTGAATGGAAAAATGTGCAAAAGATCTGAAGATATTTCTTAAAACAGACAATACACACACACACACACACACAAAATGCCCAACAAATATATTAAAAAATATTCAACATCACTAATGATCAGGGAAATGAAAATCAAAACCATAATAAGATATCACCTCATACCTATTAGAATGGCTACACTAAAAAAGAACTGTTGGCAAAGATGTAGAGAAAAGAAAATCCTTATAAACTGCTGGCAAAAACATAAACTGGTACAGCCATTATGGAAAACATTACAAAGATTCCTCAAAAAATTAAAATACACCTACCACATGACCCAGCAATTCCACTTCTGGTATATATCTAAAGAAAATGAAAGTATCTTCAAGAGATATCTATACTCCCATGTTCACTACATGATTATTCATAATAGCTAAAACATGTAAAAAACCTAAATGTCTACTGGTGGATGAATGGAGAAAGAAAAAAATATATATATATCCATGCATGCAATGGAATATTACTTATCCTTAAAAAAGAAGGCAACCCTCTCATTTGTGACAACTTGCATGATCCTGGAGGACATGATGCTCAGAGAAGACATAGAAAGACAAATACTATAAGATTTTACTTAGATGTGTAAACTATAATAGCTTTAGAAACAATGAGTAGAATCAAGGTCAGTAGGGGCTGGGAGAAGGGGGAAAAAAGAAGGTGTTGCTCAAAGTGTATGAAGTTTTAGTTACCTAAAATAAATAATATCTAGAGATCTAATGTATGGCATAGTGATGACAGTTAACAATGTATTAGCTATTATATTATGTATTAGCTATTATACACTTGAAATCTGCCAAAAGAGTTGATCTTAAACGTTCTTACCAAAAAGGAAGGAGGGAAGGAAGACAAGAAGGAAGGAAAGAAAATGATAACTATGAGAAGCAAGAGGTATTTATTTAGTTTGTGATGATCATTTTAGAATGTATACGTATATTTAAGCATCGAGTCAAGTTAAAAATTGTAAATATATATATGTAAAATTTTTGTCAATTATACTTCAATGAAGATGAAAAACATTAAATTTTAAAAAAGGCATAACTCCCTATGAGTTTCTTGGAGCTGGTCAGCCAGTCTTCCCAAAGTGACGCTTTATCATACTGACTTTTCTTTTTACTGTATATACTTCAACAACATTGCCTCTGATGTGACCCCAAAACCCTTATGAGACAGATATTATATAATATAAATTTCATGTGAAACACATATAAAAAGATTCAAACCCATAACAGTGATGGCTTCCAGGGTGAGAGAAATTAGACTGGACTTAGGAGTTGAAAGGAGACTCCAGCTTTACTGTAACATTTTAATTTTTTGTAAAAAAAAAAAAAAATATGCCTGTGTGATAAAATCTTAATTGTTGATATCTTGAATGATGAAAAATATACAATTTATTTATTACATTATTCTTTATACTTTTCTGTATTAAAAAAATTTAAAAATGTGAACTATATATATGAGAAAGCTATGGTTGAGATGAGTTAATACACTAAGAGCTATTACATTAATACCTTCCAAATATTCTCACACCATTAAATGGGAGGTAGCAGGTCTTAAAACTTCCAACAAAGGATACAAGGAAAAAAGCTCTACGGATGTCATCCAGACAGAGATGTCGAAACTGAATTATATCAGTATTATAGGAGAACTGGATACTTGTGAGCTGTGAGATAATAAGAAACACATTAATGCACATTAACAATTGGCTTACTTCTACCTTCAAAGGTTAAACTTACAATGGCCAAGTTACCATGGCAGAAATATACCATGTGCTAGCAAAATGATGGACAAAATTTTTTTTCTACAGCAAAATTACACCTTAAAAAAAATCTGCAAAGGCTGGGCATGGTGGTGCACACCTGTAATACTGGCAGCTTTAGAGGCTGAGATAGGAGGATCGTGAGTTCAAAGCCAGTCTCCGCAATGGTGAGGTGCTAAGCAACTTAGTGAGACCCTGTCTTTATTCATTTATTACTTTTATATGTAATAAAAGTGGGAATTCCCTTTTTTTTCAAAGGTAAGAAAGGGTTCTTCAGAGAGAGTCCTGATCTTCTTCTTCTTCTTCTTTTTAATAGTTTTTAATTGTCAATGGACCATTATTTTAGTTGTTTATATGCAGTGCTGAGAATCAAACCCAGTGCATCATGAGTGCTAGGCAAGCGCTCTACCACTGAGCTACAACCCCAGCCCAAGTCCTGACCTTCTTAAACCCAAGTATGGTATGATATTAAATGGCATGGTAAAATTAAATGTTCCTCTGTTTCTTTATTCTGTTAATTCTATTGCACTCAAAATGTTATTTTTTTCTCTAAGAAAGCAAAACATCCCTGGTCTTGGTAAAATGGAGAGTCACTCAAGTACAACAAGCTGGGTGTACTTTTGCTTAACTCCTCTGCCCAGGTTGACTTTACAGAAAGACCACTCTCACCACTACTTCCTCTTTAAGTTCCTGGAGTGCTTTAATACTATTTTCTAGAAAAAGACAGATTTGCTTTCAGTTAAAAATAGAATTTAAAAAGTGACAATGACCCTCAGTCTGTCAAAATATTTAATTCTTACCATTTACATTATTCTGATCAAAATGGCTTTTTATGTATTAATATTCCAAGGCTGAGAGTTAAACACAAGAAATTACTTAATATACCTTCAATAAGGAGTCTTTGGTACTTAAATTAGTTATTCTAAATTATTAATGCTTCTCTATAAACTCAATTGAAGCCATTTAAGGATGGATCAACTGTCAAAGTATTTTTCTGCAATATTCATTTATCTGACCTAAGTAAAACTGTAAATATTCTATCACCAATTTCTCAAGACCTTCAGTTCTAAAAAAGGCAACAAACATCAATTTTGTTCTCTAACTCAGCATGATCAAGGTGTCCTTAAAATGTGGTTGGCTTTTAGCCAATTCCAAGTATACTGTGTTGCATAAGCAGTCTAAGATGTGTGCTAAGGCCACAACCACTAAGATGACAGAATAAACATCTTGGATTAGAATGTGGAGAAAAAACAACAGTGGGAACTTAAATGGCAACTTATGATCAAATTTATAAATTAATTTATGACAGCATGAAAATTCTTTTGACTAAAATATATTGACAAAAGGAAATGTTGGATGTGAAAACAAGGAAAAATAAAATGAAGGGCATTTTTCTCTATTCACTCACCTATGTTAATTTTTTATATCAATGATTAAGAAAAACTCAATGGAAGGCTGAGGCTGTAGCCAAGTGGCAGAGTGCTTGCCTTGCATGTGTGAGGCACTGGGTTTGATCCTCAGTACCACATAAAATGAACAAATAAAATAAAGGCATGCTGTCCATCTATAACTACAACAACAACAACAACAACTCAAACTATCCATTGCTTTTAAAACTGTTAAATTGTGTTTTTCTGTGATAAGTGAAACTTTTTCTTGCAAATTATTTAACTTAATTGGTTAGGTTAAATAAAATTTACCAAGGTTCTTTAAATACTAAAATTTCAAGTAGATAGAATTTTCAATGAAATATCATGACTTCCTTATGGTACACAGAATATTTCAACGTTCTCAGATAAATGCAATTGACAAGTCACCTTTTGTTTACAGCAAACACCAGATTGTTGTAGGGTTTCTTGTTCCATATGAATCCAGATGAACATCAAACATGATAACACTAATGGAAAGAGAGCTTCATACCTAAGTAGTGAGAAGTAAGGGGAGGAAGGGTAGAAACGAGAAGAAAAATACATGAACAAATAAAAACTCAAATTTATACTGGAGGTCTCTCTTTAAATAATTTTGATAATACTCCTCAGCCACACTGTCACAAATTTAAATTTTCTAGGTTTTCTAGAAGAAAATAGGAAAAGAAAATAATATTTAAAATTTAACTCTAACACTATCATCTTTTAAATTTATTAAATCTTGAGATAATTATGTTTTAAAATAGTAAAGATATTTAAAAATAATTAATAAAATAAGTTATTCATAAAAGAGAAAGAAAGCATTAAGACAAAAGTAAAAAGATAATTTCTAATGCAAAATTATTAATATATATATATACATATATATATATATATAGAGAGAGAGAGAGAGAGAGAAGAAAAAGATGAACTTTCCAAATTTCCTAAAAAAATGACTGCAATACAGAAACACAAACTTCTTGAAGAAAAATAAAAGATCCAATAAACACATAAAAATGTTTGGCCTCATCAATAACTAATATGGGGCTGGGGATGTGGCTCAAGCGGTAGCGCGCTCGCCTGGCATGTGTGCGGCCCGGGTTCAATCCTCAGTACCACATACAAAGATGTTGTGTCCGCCAAAAACCATAAAATAAATATTAAAATTCTCAAAAAAAACTAATATGGAAATCAAAATAATAATGAGATACTATACACTTATTTATCAGCATTAAAAAATATTCCTGACAAGAGTGCAATGAAAATGAACTCTTGTGTTCTCTTTATAGAAATATACACTTCTGGAAGGCCATATGGCATTAGACATAAATCTCAAAAATATTCATAATGTATAATACCATTTCTAGAAATGTACTCTGAGAAAATTTCAATTTTAAAGATTTTGGGTGTAATATTGTTTACAGAACAGAGAGTTCAGAGAAAACTACATGTTCAAGAGAATGATTAAATATATTTGTAGGCTGGATGTAACGTGGCCACAAAAAAGAAAAGTGCCCACGAGGTAACATGGTGACAGAAACTTTTTTAAGCAGCTTCTGCTGTAGTTTGGGATAAGTGTTCCGCCTTTGTAATTACAAAATGCTTTATTATAGCACTTACACAGTTTTAATCACATGTCTATATGAAGACAGTACCTATTAGTTTATAAAATCTTTGAAAAACAAACTCTGTTTTGTCACTATGGCAGGTCCAGCTCACCAGAAGTGGTTTTGAATGAGCTATTAACCTAATTGGAAGTTACAAGATAAAAGAAGGTAAACAAAGCTTATTTTTCTTTTAACTTTTCAACTACTGAGTTCTAGGCCATATGGCACCATTTTCTAAGCATGAGACACCATAAGAAACAAAATACTTTTAATTCTCCCACAATCATAAAATGAAAACACTGAAGCTTGGGCAGGAACGCCTTTGAAAAAGCAAGCACAAATCTCTTGGTATATAAGATTTAGAACATCCATGGATGTGAACAGATATTACATACATGAGAAAATATCATTAGTAAAGCAAGTATAGAAAACTGTACAAAGCAGTACCATTTATGGCCTACTAAAATAGTATTTAATATTAGTTTGTTGGCAACCTCATGAAATGGCACTGTTGTTAAGACAAATGCAAGTTTCTAGAAAAGTATATGTTCAAAGGCCATCTATGCTAATTGAGAATGAAAATAATTAAACTATGTAAAAAGCTTATGTATAATACTATAGCTCAAAATATTATTTATAATAACAAAAAGTATAAATAAATAAAATGATTAAAAACAGAGGAACTTGGTGCATTCATATCATGAAATATTAAATATCTATCAAAATGAAGGGTAGTGAACTATGAGCCATTCAGGGAAAAAAATGCTTGTAAAATAATGTTACATAGAAAAAAAAAATGATACAAAGTAGTACATGTACTATGACAAATTCTACGTTAAAAAAAGATAAATACAGAGTTAGGGCTAGAAAGAAATATAGCAGAAAATCAAAAGGAACATGTAATAATAACTTTTTCCCTTATCATTCTTTTCTAAAATATGGCATACTACTTTTATAATGTCAGAAAAAAAGGAAGGAAGACAAAATTTAGAATGCCATTCAAGTTCAACTTCCACATGAGAGCTTGATGGCCCTAACTCAGTCCCCCTACTCAAATTCCTTCCTAGTCACTCTTCACATCATACAATCACAACTTAACTGAAAATAATTTGTTCCATTTTATAGTTTACCTAACAGTGTAAAATACAGTCCTCATTATATAGCACTTTTTAACTCTGTTGAATGCCTACACTACAGTAATAATTCTCTCTGTATGACTTCCTAGTGCTCAGGACGTTGGAGATATGAAAGAAAAAACAATTGTTGGTTAATTAATCAAGAAGATACATATCTAAGCAAAAGGGGACTGTAATTTTTAAAATACTTGCAGTTATATATGAAGTTATTCCTTCCTAATGTATAAAAACAAATCCCTTAGTTCTATAAAAGGTGCTACAGATTTATTTCCTTTCAAAAAAGTATGTACTATGACCACTTTTTTTGGGGGGGTGGGTAAAATGTAGATGAATAAAATCAGATCAAGACAATCTTCCTATGGTATATTATCTCATAAGACGATGATAATTTTGTGTAAAGTCTGCAAATATGAATTAAAAACTAAAATATCAATAAAATGTCATCATGGGTTTGAAGAGAACATAATAAAACCTTACTAAACTAGGATCTGCCGATTTGGTCTCTGTGCAAACTAAATAGGGCTGATAAAGTATTTAGGTTTATATTATAGTTTGCTATACAATGTGATAAGGTAAATAATATTTCAGAGGAAAATATTTAATCAACTTACAAGACGAACTATTTTCAAGCATTACCATATCTTTCATTTGCATAAAATAAATCTTCACTAAATAAAGGATTGCATTGTTAGGATTATTACAACTGTATTAAAGCTGCATTTCTTTCAGTATCCTACATTTCTGAAAATTCCTTAATTTACATAGAGAAACCTCTAGGTTATCTAAAATAGTGATGCTGAACCCTAACAGGTAGAATAAATTTTGCAAAATTCATCTAACACTGAAAAAAATGTACTAACTTAACTGATTGGACTGCACTATTTCAAGATATTTTTTATTTTTTTGCAAAGCTAAATATAGGTTCTGATCTTGAATACTGTATCTCTTAATGCATTCATTAATAAGGTCATATTGGGCCTTAATATTTTGATTTTAGACATGGACTCTGACATTTTTTCTTCTTAAAATAAACATCCTTCTGATAATCTGTTTTATTATCTCTCATGACCACTAAATTGATGATTTAAAACCTTTAATATGCACCTCCAAGGTAAGTTATATGCTTAATTAATGCTACATTATAAAAGTTTTTCCACTCAAAATTAAACTTAAGTATTGTTCCTTTTTTCCTTCCCTCCTTCATTTCTAACCCAACAAACCAGATCTATTTCTGGGTTTGTTCCTATTTTTTAATTTACTACAAATTTATTTGAACATATACTGCTTTAGAATTTAAAGGTCCAAAAAGGAAATGAATTTTATACTGCTTTAGAATTTAAAGGTCCAAAAAGGAAATGAATTTATTCATAATTAAGTGACTATACAGAAGCTAGCACATTATTTCTGGACCCACTCAAATATTTATTTCCTTAAGTCAACTTCTGGGTAAAAATCTAGGGCAGGGGTTGTAGCTCAATGGTAGAATGCCTGCCTAGAATGTGAAGGCATTGGGTTTGATTCTCAGCACCACATATAAATACATGTCCATTGACAACTAAAAAAAAAAAAAATTAAAAAGATCTCTTAATAAAATTTGTATATCATACCAAAATGGTGGGTTAGAAATTATTTTATTTTTTTGCTTTCTTGTTTAGATTAAAAATGTGTGCATAATTCATTTCTACCTTGAAGGGTGCTAATATAACAAAATTATTTATTCTAAAATTTCATAAAAAAGGAGGAAAACGTGAAGGGGTTTAAGGTCCTATGATGGTTAACACTCTTGAATATATGGTCACATACTTCAAATTTTATTTGAAAGTTCAAAGTTCTAAATCTCAAAGCAAGTCCATCTTAAGATCTTGTTAGGTAACTGGTAGAAATTTCTGTCATGCTCATATTCATAGCTGTGGCCCACATCTGGTTAGGCAGGGAAAAAAGAGAAGTTAGAAGGTGTGAAAAGCTTTGAGGAGAAAAGAAGATTTAGAATCCTACTTCATTTCCTATCTGGGTCTACAAGAACTCTCAAGGTCACTTAGGATGTTAAGGGCAACTATGAAAAGATTTTGAGAACTTGTCTCTAAATCCTGAATTAGAACAAGCAAGTTTCCCAAAGATTTAACCCAGGTTTTGGACCCAAATGGCTTTTAAAACTTATCTACAAGGGTAAATCCCTTGGTTTAGACTAGTTTGAATCAAAAAACTCTATTTGGGCCAAAATTTGAACTTCGAGTAGTATTTATTCAATTTGCCTGTACTACTGATCAATTTGTCTGTTCTATTGTTTGTTAAATGTAAATATTTCTCACTCTCATAAGGATGAAATTTGAAAGCAAGTAAAGTGAAAAATTCTTTCCTTCAAAGTAATTAGGGAGTGTATATAATTAAGTTCTAAAGAATGCTTCAGAATTCATGTTAAATCAAGCTACATTTTATTTTATTTTGTAAAAAAAAATTTCAATAATAAATAAAATGAATTATTTAACTTTTGGGAAAATATTTTGTAATTTCCTTGAAAGAATATTTGACTGTAAAACATGTTAAGAATAAGAATAAAACCAAAATATTATACTCAAATAACAACAAATAAATTAGACCATATATATATTTTCTTTTTTTGCAATACTGTGCATTAAACTCAGAGACCACACATGCTGAATAAGGGCACTGAGCTATACCCCAGCTCTAAAGCATCATTTAAAAAGCATGAGCCAGTATAGTAGCCCACACTTGTAATGTCAGAGGCAGGAAGATTGCAAGTTCAAGCCAGCCTGGACAACTAAGTGAGACCCTATCTCAAAATAAAAAATAAAAAAGGGATGCGGATGTGGCTCAGTGGTAAAGTGCCTCTGGGTAAATTCTCTAGTACCCAAAATAAACCAAAATAATAAAATAAAATGCATGAAAAGAATGCAACAAAAATGAAATCCTTTTTTAAAAAACAATATCCTTATTTTATTTATTTATTTTTATGTGGTGCTGAGGATGGAACCCAGTACCTCACAAATGCGAGGCAAGCGCTTTACTGCTAAGCTATAACCTCAGCCCCTCAAAATGAAAATCCTTCTAAGTCTTTGAGACATTGTTTAGATTAAACATTTAGAGATGGAATGAATTTTCTAACACTGTAGTTGAATGAAAATTTAGCAACTTCAGTACAAAAAATAGAAAAAGACAACAGACAAGGTATGAAAATAATAAAGAAAATAGGAGATTATGAATCAGGTCACATACAGAGTAGAAAATATTTATAATTTATACTTCAAGATTTACAAAACACTCTTTATCTCCACAGCTTAAATACTAATAGAGAAAATATCAATATGTCACTTAAAATTTGCTATTATGGAATTAAAAAATGTGTCTATGTTTATACCCTGTGCTTAGGAGCAAGTAGGTGGACATCAAGGAAAGAAGTATGCTAATCAATCGCTGAAAGAGAACTGGAGAACTCAGCAGTGGCACCACCAAGGAAGAGGCTGCAATAAAACAAAGCAGGCCATCTGTCAGCACGGAAGACACACACATTACAAATTTAGAAGTTCTAAATCATCTATTGTCATTTATGGTGCTTAATATTTGTGTGACCTTTATCATGTGGAAATATTTGCCTTACAGATTTCTCTAAGAAACCAGAGGCTTCACATTTTTAATTAGAATTACATTTTATTGTTTTAGCTATATTTTAAATAACTGAGATTTTATCAATTTATATTCAGAATAAATGTACTACAATGATATTAACTCCTCAATGCCTAATTTGTTATTTTCTAATGAAGTAAGAAATATCACTCAAGATTCAGCAACTCATCTCTTAATTAGGCACTTATATCTCAGTTCAAGACAACTTACTGTCCGGAAACTGACTTTCCCTAATCCCTCCTCCTACCAAGTTTCCCACTATAAAGTATGCTTTGACAGCTGTAGTGGGCCACTTGGAAAATTGGAAATAGGAAAGAATGACTTCACTGTGCATGAGACTTATAATAAGAGTCCTTTTCCCCATAGGATAGGAAAAGCAACTACTTCAATGGAGACCAGGCAGATGTAAGAGGGTGAGGACAGCAAAATATATACTCTTTCCATCTCTGTTTGGAAAGAAAATGTACATAACTTCCTAATTTCACTCCAAAGTATGTAGATGAGATGAAATGCCTCTGAATCACTCATCAACTGTTTAATTGTAGGGCAAGTTTGTCAACATATAGAAGTTTACCCATGTCAAACAGGGATAACACTAAAAAGTTGTAAGACTTAAATACAATTTCACCTACTAATGCTCTCCAAGCATAGTTCCTGACACATAGTGCTTAGTAACTCTCAGCTGCTATTATCGTTACTAATCAACACCTTATAAGTTAATTTAAACATAAAGACAATTTCATTCAAAGTCAAATTCCTGAAAGATTTAAATATGCAAGTTATATCTAACACCCTCAGATGAACAGTTTCTGAATTTCATAATGTTATTATCTGATACATACTTTAACTGGAGGAAATAACATATCAATATTTCTTATTTTAAAAGTCATTTCAAATGAAACTTATTCTATAAATTGTACTTTGTCCTTGTTTTATTTTTGCCTAAAAGCTAAGGTGCTAGGGGGGATTCTGAGTCCCCATTCTGAGTAACAAAAATTAAACCCAGTTTTATAACTTATCACCCATCTAGAGATTATAGTATATTAGCAAAAAATGCTTATTGTAGCTGGACATGATGTGTGGTGTATTCTTTGGAGATGCTGATGACTTACCTATGATAAACATTTTATGTCTCACTTTATTTGGTAGTTACCTAATACCTACCTCTACTAGTCCCGGGGTAGAAATTTCTCACTTAAAATATATGCTTTTATATTGGGAAAATGACAGCAATATGTTGATTCTGCATTTTCTCCCCACCATTCAAAAAATAACAATAAAGAATAAAGACAACGAATAAAAGTTTATAAGATATTCCAAATAGGGAAAAAGAAGCATAGAAAATATTATATAATATGTACATATGTTCTACAATGTAAGACAGTATGACAAAATAGAGATCAAGCTTAAGAGGTAAAGGTAATTCAAAGATTATAAGCAGAGATTACAAATAACCCCATCTGAGATTCAAGATGGTAGGCTAGAGGGAGGCTGCATTCCTTGTTGCTCTGTGATCTGGGATTCAAGCAGTGGGAATACTGTTCTCTGTGAGTTATTTGAGGGTCCCCAGCTGCTGAGCCTGTGCAGACCTCCCTCTACCAACTTGCAGCTCCCTGAATCATCTCCATCTTGGGACACTGCAACCGCTGCCCTCCACATGGGAGCCTGCACCTGGGGACACGGGAAAGGGTCTGGAGACAGCTGTCCAATACAGCACCGCATGCCACAGAGCAGCATCTCCAAATACGCAGTCCCATGCCACAGCCTGGCCTACCCTGATGCCCCATCTCTGAAAGTGGTCTCCTCCATCTTGAGATACCTTCGTTGCCATCTTGGGTTATCCTCGCTACTGCCATCACCATCTTTAGTTGGGGCAACCCCCATCTTGGGACATCCTCGCTACTGCCATCACCATCTTTAGTTGGGGCAACTCCCATCTTGGGACACTGGCTGAGGCCTAGTAGCAATATCAAGGTGCCTATAGTCCCCCAAATCCTCCCCACACCCAGCCACTAACCTGGCACAGCAATTGCAACTACATAGCTGGCCATAGCTTGCAAAGCCTGGTCCTGATCTCACAGATTCAAAATAGCTCTCCATGACAGATGCTTAGGTCCCAGAGTGCAGCCCATAGGACCTCCAGAGAGAGAGGTTCCTGACTGAGAAGTAGAAAGCAAGGGGGTGAGTGAGACATTGTTTAGAGACTAAATTAAAGATCAGGAATTGTGAGGCCTACAGGCGATATAAGGGGATAAGACCAGGTGCCCACATCACATGAACGGGCCCCAGTGGAGATCCTTGGGATGCAGTCTTCCACTGGAGACCGGAAAGTGCTATACCCCACCTCTAGGAGTTCCACCTCCAAGACCAACCCTTCCACCCTAATAACCTTCACCATGCTGAGATGGAGGTACCAGCAAAAAATAGACAACTCCACCTGCCAGATGAGAAGGAAAGCAGGAAGGATACTGGGCTCCAATAGAAACAATCCTTTAACTTTCCTTTGAGATTCATGCTACTGAGAACTGGGGTGTCTAAATAGTATATTAAAGATGTGCTGCATATTCTTCTATCTTTTATTTTTATATTTTCTTTTCCTTAATAATTTTTTGTTTGTTTTTTGTATTCTCTCTACTTTCTTCCCACTCACCTGTCTCCCTAAAGTCTTTTTCTTTCTCTCTATTCTCCTGCTAGCAGCCAACTTATTTTGATTCTTCTTTCACGCTTCCTAAGATCTAATAACTCTATATTCTCACCTCCTATCTCCATAACAGCTCATCTTACACCTCCCCCTGTGTTCTTTCTGTCCACCATAAGAAACTGTTGACACTTTTGGAAACCTACTGTTTATACTGTGTAGATAATAATCGAATTTACCATTTCTGTCTATTGCGACAAAACAGTAACATCTTAATAGGAGCTATTTGATTTAAGGCTGCATATTGTTGCAATTGGGATCTGTCAATATTGATCTCACCCTTAAAAAAGAGGTATTGGAATCCTCCAGGGACACTCTAAGCCTACAGGGTAAAAACTGTAACACCTCAGATCTGCACTCCTAGAGGACTAGACACATAAACAATATGAAAAAACAAGAGAAGAAAGTGCCCCAAATAAACAAAGATACTACATTATTAGAATTCCTGGCCGGCACAGCAGAAAAAATATCAAAGAAGGAGTACAGGATGTACATAATTAAATGTTCTATGAATTAAAGGGTGATATAAAAGAGTAAACACAGTCAACAAAAGATCATTTTGATAAAGAGCTACATAAGCAAATATGGGACACAAAAGATTAATTCAACAAGGAGACAGAGATTCTGAAACAAACAAACAAAAAACCCCCAGAAATCCTTGCAATGAAGGAAACAATAAACCAAATTAAAACTCAATAGAAAGCATCAACAGATTAGATCACTTGGAAAACAGAACCTCAGACAATGAAGACAAAATATATAATCTTGAAAAGAATGTTGACCACATAGTGAAGATGGTAATAAACAATGAGCAGAACATTCAAGAATTATGGGATAGCCTGAAAAGACCAAATTTAAAAATTATTGGGATAGAGGAAAGCATAGTTACAAACTAAAGGAATGAACTATCTATTCAATGAAATAATATCAGAAAATCTTCCAAACATGAAAAATGAATTGGAAAATCAAATACAAGAGGCTTACAGGACACCAAATTATAAAATCACAACAGATTTATAATTTATACAGAATAAGGAGAAAAATTTAAAAGTCACAAGAGAAAGGAATCAGATTACATATAGGGGGAAACCAATTAGGATCTCTGCCAATTTCTCAACCGTGACCCTCAAAGCTCAGAGGATCAGGAACAATATATACTAGGCTCTGAAAGAAAATGGATGCCAACCAGAATCATATCCAGCAAAATTAAGCTTTAGATTTGATGATGAAATAAAAACATTCCATTATAAACAAAAGTTAAAAGAACTTACAACTAGAAAGCCTGTATTACAAAACATCCTTGGCAAAACATTCCATGAGGAAGAAATGAAAATGATCTAAGGGGGGAACTATACTAAAGGAAAAGCCAATCAAAGGAGAAACCAAGTCCAGTTAAAAACCAAAAACAGACAAAATGACTGAGAATACAAACCATGCCTTAATAATAACTCTGAATGCTAATGGCCTGAACTCATCAATCAAAAGACACAGACTGGCAGATTGGATTATAAAAAAGGGTACCCAATAATATGTTGCTTTCAAGAGACTTATCTCATAGGAAAAGAATCCACAGACTGAAGGTGGAAGGTTGGGAAAAAGCACACCACTTAACATGGATTGCATAAACAAGAAGGGGCTTCTATCCTCATATCAGATAAAATAGATTTTAAGCCAGTTAGTCAAAAGGGATAAATATACATACTGCTTAAGGGAACCATACATCAATAGGACAGAACAATTATAAACATATATGCCCTCAAATATAAAGCATCTATGTTCATCAAACAATCTCTTCTTGAAATAGAGTCAAATAGACAATTATACTGGGTGACATTAACACACGTTTCACCACTGGATAGAGCTTCCAAACAAAAACTAAACAAAGAAATTATAGAACTCAATAATACTGAATAACTCAATAAATAATTTAGACTTAACAGACAGAATACTGCATCAATCAATGAGTGAATGTACTTTCTTCTCAGCAGCAGATCCTTCTCTAAAATAGACCATATATCATTCCACAAAGCAACTCTTAGCAAATACGAGAGAGAGAGAGAGAGAGAGAGAGAGAGAGAGATCCTGAATTCTATCACATCATAATGAAATGAGAATAGATGTCAATGATGAAATAAAAAACAAAAGCTACTCCAACAACTGGTTAACCACTTCTATTTAATGTAGTCCTTGAAACTCTAGCTAGAGCAATTAGACAAAAGAAATTAAAGGAATATGAATAAGAAAAGAAGAACTCAAACTATCACTATTTGCTGATGACATGATTCTATACTAAGAGGATCCAAAAAATTCCACAGAAAACTTCTAGAATTAATAAATGAATTCAGCAAAGTAGCTGGATATAAAATCAACACTCATAAATAAAATGCATTTCTGTACAAATCCTTTGAAAGAGAAATTAGGAAAACTACCCCATTCATAATTGCCTAAAAGAAATAAAATACTTGGGAATTAACCAAACAAAAGATGTGAAAGACCTCTCTCATGAAAACTACAGAACCCTAAAGAAAGAAATTAAAGAAGACCTTAGAAGATGGAAAGATCTCCCTTGTTCTTCGACAGGCAGAATTAATATTGTCAAAATGACCATACTACCAAAAGTGTTATACAGATTTTAATGCAATTCCAATCAAAATCCCAATGACATTCCTCATAGAAATAGAAAAAGCAATCATGAAATTAATCTGGAAAAATAAGAGACCCAGAATAGGCAAAGCAATCCTTAGCAAGAAAAGTAAAGCAGGAAGCATCACAATAAAACCAGACCTTAAACTATACTACTGAGCTAAAACAGCATGGTATTGGCACCATAATAGACATGAAGACCAATGGTACAGAATAGAGGACATAGTGGAGCAGGGAAGTAGAGAATGAAGGATCTTTGATGGGCAAAGTGGAGGGAGGCGCAGGGAGAGGACACAGGGCAGGAAAGATGGTAGAATGAGATGAACATCATTACCGTAGGTACATGTATGACTGCACATACAATGCAACTCTACATCGTGTACAACCAGAGAAATGAAAAGCTATGCTCCATTTGTGTACAATGAATTGAAATACATTCTTCTGTCACGTATAACTAATTAGAATAAAAAAATAACCTCATCCCTACAATGTTTTTATCCTAAGACTTTTATTCTTTCAATACCTATATATCCACTTTTTGTTCCTTCTATACTTATATATTATCACTGGAAGAATGTTACCTCTTTCAATATAAGCATAGATATAAACATGGAATGAGAGAAGGCAGAATAGAACTGTGTGACTAGAATTTGAGGTATCAGTGTGAATGATGATTTCTAAGATACATGCATATATGTACATGATATATGTATGTGTGAATGTATATGTGCATATATTTATATGTAATTGCAAATATATGCATATATACTACATACATGAGTATAATTTCTAGTTCTGTCCATTAGAAGGCCAAAGAAGCAAAGATATCCCAGTAGTGAAGTATACATTCAAAGGCTAGATCTTGGTTTCTAATATCATTTCCCTACTAAAAAGAAGCACAGTACTCAAAAAGTAGATGCCAGAACTGGGATAGATAGACAAAAGGGAAGCCTAACACATTATCTTAATACTAGAAAACAGGAAAATGCTAACAACAATTTTGGAGTGCTATTACAACACAAAATTAACTACAGTAATACATTTATAATCTTTGGAAAAAAAAAGGAAGTCATGAGTCCACACCAATATTAAACAGAAAAGAGAAGAAATGAATAGGAAATAAGAGAAAACTTGAATACTTAAATATTGAGAGCCTTATGGTATTTGCAGAGGGAGCATCAGAGTTGGAAAAATCACCATTTTGTAGCCATCACTGCAAAGATTGGGTCAGGAAAGAATTATGAATGGATGCTACATCTAGGGGAAATTTTGATAAGAATACTTGATGATCTTAAGAGTGTCTGTCCCAGACAGCTCATTAGTAAGTCTGTAATGGAAAAATGGCAAAACCTTGATAGAGTGACCAAATTGACATTACCAATAAGGGACAGATCATGTACCAGATCTGAGCCAAAGAAGGATATACCATTATTACACAGTACTCTGGCCAATAAGGCAAAATCTCAATTTAATTATAAGGAAACATTCAATAAACATAAATTGAGTGACAATCTATGGAGTGAGGTGCCATATATATTAAAAATGTCAATGTCATAAAACCAAAGAAAGGAAAATACCATAAAGGTCATTACTAGGCAGCTGAAAAAAATAAGAATGACAGGATAGAAAAAAAATTTAATCAATAAAACACTTAAAATTTTTATACACACAGATAAAGGAAAAGCACAAGAAATGAGTGATAGCTTTCTATAATTCTTGTAATGTTCTGTTTTCTTGGTCTTTTTATAGATTTAAAATGAGATATAATGATATATGGATAAAGTCTAGGATTTTAATTTTGTTTTGTCTTCTTCCTTGTGATTTATTCCTAGATAAGAAAACTAAGGAACTGAGTAAGGCTACACTACACTGTAAGGACATGAGGTTATGCAGCAAGCAGGAGGTGGGCAGCTGCTTAAGAACACCTGATCTCCAATTATTATTTGCCATGTGCTATTTATCTGCTGATATGTGTCCTATAGGACTGAATATTTTTGAAGTTACATGATATAAGAGAAAGACTTCTCTTTAATATTATAATTTCTATTGACAATTTTAGGGTTTTCTGTGTATTTCAAAACATGTCACATGAGAGATCATTATATAAATATTCTCCTCACTAGAATATTAGCTCCTCTGTTCCTGCAAATATAAGCTCCAAAAAAGCAGAAATTTGGTCAATCTTTATACATCTTAGGGACCAGAACAGTGCCAGAATACAGTACACACTGAGCACAATGTTTTTAATATGAAAGAGCAGTCCTTTATATTGCTTATGCAGAATAAATGCAAATATTAATCAAGATTATTTAAAAGTAAAGGTAACCTGTAGAATGCTCTTAATGAAATTTTACGTAAGTTTTATGTATACTTAAATATAGATAAATAGGTAGATAGCTATTATTGTACAATAATAACTTTCATTTGAATACTAACCAAGGTATCTAAAAAAAATGAGTAAAACAAAAATTTAGGAGGAATCATGTCTGATTCCTATTGTTACATTTTTAAGCCTCTGTTGGATTTTAAAAACAATCCAAGGAGATGTGAGGAGTGCCACCTGCCTATATTCCCAGTGACCTGGGGACTGAGACAAGAGGATCACAAGTTCAAGGCGGCTTAGCAACTTAGTGAGGCCCTAAGCAACTCAGTGACACCCTGTCTCAAAATAAAAAACTAAAAGGGGATTGGATGTAGTTCAGTAATAAGGTGTCTGTTGATTAAATCCCTAGTACAACAAAACAACAATAAAAACAATCCAAGGAAAAATATTGTATTTCTTAATCTTCTTTTCTTTTTTGTTTTCTGCAATCTTAATCTTCTTTTCAATGTAAAGTCCCAAAGATCTTTTCCTTTTTAAAGGATAGACAATATAAATCATTTTTTTAAAGTTAAATTGTATGCCAAATCATTCACAGACATAACAATATGTCTTTTTTAAAAAAATTTCCTCTCCCTCTCTCTCTCCTTGAGAGAGAGAGAGAGAGAGAGAGAGAGAGACGAAAGAGGAGAGAGAGAGAATTATTTTTAATATTTATTTTTCAGTTTTCGGTGGACACAACATCTTTATTTTTATGTGGTGCTGAGGATCAAACCCAGCGCCCCAGGCATGTCAGGCGAGTGCATTACGGCTTGAGCCACATCCCCAGCCCACAAAATGTCTTTTTTCAGTGAAAAACCTGGACTTAAGAGCTTGTTCTTGTCTTATAGTTGGAAGGGAAAGTGTACATCCTTAAATTACAGATTTGCTTCATACATACATTCCAATGTTCTTACATAAGAGCGCTAGAGAAATATGCTTTAAAACATTTAACTGGCTTTGTAAAATGTTTAATATGTTGGAAGGTTATCAATCTGTTATTTTCACGAAGGAAACACACAAAATTTAACTGTTTCCTGGTTTCTATATAAGAACTCAGAATTTATGAATTGACATGAAAATTAAACACAAAATCCCCTTCAAGAAACTCTTTTCTCTTCTGGAATGACTCAGTAGATTTTATCAAATGTTAATAATAAACAATCTTACTATTAGGTCTTAAATATTCTATCAAGTAATTCTTACTAACACATGGGTTCATAAGAGTTCCATCTTGGGCTAGGGATGTGGCTCAAGCGGTAGCACGCTCGCCTGGCATGCGTGCGGCCCGGGTTTGATCCTCAACACCACATACCAACAAGATGTTGTGTCCACCGAGAACTAAAAAATAAATATTAAAAATTCTCTCTCTCTCTCTCTCTCTCTCTCTCTCTCTCCTCTCTCACTCTCTCTTAAAAAAAAAAAAAAAAAGAGTTCCATCTTTCTTTGTCAAATTCCAGAAAGAAACAAAAGTAATAGCTGGTTATTTATTATAATTTTCCTGCAACAAAATTGTTTCTTTAATAACAATAATATGGACATAAATGGATCATTTTGAGATAAGGGACTTGATATAAAGTTATCTCATTTGGTTTGAGTGGCTGCTTACCCAATATTGCCCAGCTCACAACCTGATTCATAAGAGGCAGTCCTTGTTTCTTGAGTAGACTATTGTGGGTACTATACACAACATACATGGAAAGCACTGTGCTCAGCATCTGAAAACACAAACAAAACAGGTCAATAAAAAAGAAGGTAGTGAAAGTCTATCTACCAGGAAAAAAAAAATGCTTAGGAAAGCGCTGAGAACAACTGGAACTGGCCAAAATACTACTAATGTTGGACAAGGTATTGAAATTGGATGAGGGCACCTTCTTGTGGCCAAGGCTAAGCATTAGCATTCCTATATTAAACAAAGGTCCTCCTTAGTAAGTATGACATGAAACACTTTACATATTCAAGAGCATTTTTTACATATATCATTACAATTTCTATTTGGAAGTATTTGTTATAAATACTTCTTAAAAGTATGGAAACAAAGATGGTGATATGTACATAACTTAGTGCCTTCTCCTTCTGGACCTCTCCTATAGTACTACTGGTTTATTCAGTCAACTGTGGTCTGAATATTGATGACAGAGGGAATATACAAAGTATAAATACTCTTCAGAGAATATTTATAAATTAGTATAGAAGTTGACAAACTATAACTCATAGGCTGGTGTCCTATTTTTATAAATACTGTTTTGGTGGAACATAATTACTTCCATTCATTCACCTGTTGTTTTTCTTTGCATTAAAATAGAAGAGTTGAACATCTGTTAAGACTCCATATTACCCATCAATCTAAAAATATTTACTATCTGGTTCTTTAGAAAAATGTTTGCTGAACCTGAACTAGTAGCTTAATTATCATCTAAGAAATGAGCTAAATTTTGACTATGAACAAACTAAATTCTCTTATTAGAGTTTGGATTAACGGTCTCACTACCAATGTTTCCTAGAGAAACATTTAATTTACTGTCATATTTTCAGTGTTAAGAAGCAAAACAGAAAACAATGCTGTTGTTAAAGCTATAACATAGTCCTACAATCCTTTTAACCGGAAGATACATTTTGGGGTATCGGGACAGTGCTGGAGATTAAACTCAGGGCCTCATCATGTAAGCCAGGTAAGTGCTCTATCTCTGACCTACAGTCCAGTTTTCTTTTCTTTCTTTCTTTTTTTTTTTTTTTTTAATTTTTGAGACAGGGTCTTTTAAAGTTGCCCAGCTGGGCTCAAACTTGGAATCCTCCTCCTGCCTTAGCCTCTTGAACAATTAGTATTACAGGCATACACCACTGCACTTGGCTTCTAAGACACATTCTAATTTCAGAGATGTTAAAATGGGATAAAAATGTGTCTTGGAGTCAATAAAGTATGGCAGGCAGTACAGGAATTAATGCAAGCTAATAAAATGAATGCAAAAAGGAACACTGTAATGGAGTTACCTAACATTTTGGTCTTTCTAACAAAGCATATAACAATTTTAGCAAGACATTCATTCTTTGCTCCTTTAGAATATAGTCAGAAACATTCATTTCTGTCAACGTTCTGGTGAAATGATAGGTGAATGCTGTCAAAGCTACTCTGGCTTTGGTGTAAAGCCAGCAAGTGCACCATTTCAAATGAAATATGTTTCAATGGCTTGACAGGATCTTTTCTTTTTTCTTTTTTTTTTTTTTTGGTGTTGGGGATTGAACCCAGGGCCTTGTGTATGCAAGGCAAACAATCTACCAACTGAGCTATGTCCCCAGACCTTGTCAGGATCTTTGACAAAGCATTTCTTCTCTTTATATAAGCTCTCTAAGAATGCATTTAACTTATCATCTTTTATGTGGCATATTTTTAGTTTTGACTGTTTTTAGAAATATTTTCTATTATTCCAACTCTGTTCTGAGGAAATTTGAAAAGACTCATATGAGTTTTGTTTCTTGTCACTGTTCTAGATGTGGTTATTTATTCACTTAAAAAGAAAAAAGTAGTTTTAATCTTGATTTCCAACAACCAAAAAGATAAAAACTTTATAAAATAATACATTATATAATCTCTAAAATTCTCACAGTCCTATTAGATATTATGTCTACTTACAGGTTAAAAACAAACTAAAGTCAAAGTTCTGAAAATTATACATGTAGAATACAGTGCAACGGGAATTGACTCAATTTTGAAACACTAAGGCCACCAACCAAGATGAAGTTTATATTCTCCTAGGGTATCATCTGAGGTCTTAACCTAAGGCTTTTCTTCATATAAATATACTACAGGTTGCTTCTCTTTTTCAAAGAATCTTGTCTCAAATGAGGACAAAAGAGAAATTCAGTCCAGAGGAAGCTCTTCTCAGCTCACGTTTTGGTCAGTACAGATACCTTTTAAATCACTACAAATTCTCTGCTCTCTCAGTATCTTTCAGTTGCCTCTTGTTGACCTTTTTGCTATTTCTTACCTTTGGGAGAACCTATTTCTATCTTAGAAATCTTTCTTCTTAGCTGGAGGATATTGAATGACATAAACATCATGGCACATTAAGAACACAATTAAATATGACTGTAAGACATATTTTGCTATATCATTGGTATAACACATAGTATTGAAAATCTGCAACTCACCTGTAATAGATGTACCAATAACTCTTCCTTGATAAAACTATTTTTTCTTTTGATGAGAGATGTTATAACAAACAGGGATAGTAGAAGAACCAGGAAGCCTGCACTCATTCTGTTTCGAAATACAATTCACAATTTAAATTTTCTTAAGATATTTCCTGAATACATCATATGATAACATGATGCATTTTATTCTAATATAGAATTTCTAAATCATCTGATTTAATCAAGAAGAAGCAACAAAATGGACATAGAAGTTTAACAGGAAATATTAAAAATGTTTGAATAAAATATTTTAAGGATATATTTATTATTTCCACAATTTTTAGAAGCTTTACCTGATTTTTTAAATTCAACTTAAAAATTATTTTACATATACCAACTACTATAATTCTTAGCCTGAATTGAACAAATTTAAAGTCAACAATATAAAGATAGCTAAATAAATATAATATTTGTATCTATAACATACATTTTTCAACTATGAGCACTTACTTATTCACATAAAAGTATCACATTTAAAATCTAAATTATTTCTAGCAGGGACAAACAGTTCCTTTCTAGCATTGACCCTGGTGCTTTCCTCAGTTGCCCTGACTAAAGGAAGAGTAGGACAGTGGTCACAAAGGTGGCATGCAGGTGAGTAAATTATTATACATTCTTTTTAAAAAAATATTTCAGTTGTTGATGGACACAATATCTTTATTTATTTATTTATTTTATGTGTTGCTGAGAATTGAACATAGGGCCTCACACAGGCAAGGCAAATGTTCTACCACTGAGCTACAACCCCAGTAATGAAATAACAGATTATACTTTTCATGACTAATAATTTGATATTGATATTTTAATGTCTAGTTTGCTTATTTATTATTTTTACTTGGTGCTGAGGATCAAACCCAGTGTCTCACATGTATGAGGCAAGCGCTTTGCTACTGAGCCACAACCCCTAATGCCTAGTTTGTTCATATGATTTTAAACTCATAATCAAGATTGGGTTCAAATTTCATAGAATTGACTGAGGGGAAAAAACTGTATTGAAAAGAAAAGAAAATACTGTTCATACACCAAAGAGAGATCTGGCTTTCGACCTACAACAGGCATCAGTGGGAACACTGCCAGGAGCAAAGAGAAGAAAGTCCAACTCAAGGAGATGACCTAAAATCAAGGGAAAAAAAAGTCATCTTTAGACAAATATTATTTATCTTCAGACAAATATAGTGAAACCTGCTTTCAGTGTTTCAGGCTACCCAACTGTGAAACTAAAAAGAAAATGCAAAGCCTTAGAGCCATTTGCTTTATTTTTTATTTTAAATATCTTTTTTAGTTGTAGGTAGACATAATACCTTTATTTTATTTATTTACTTATTTTTATGTAGTGCTGAGGGTCAAATCCAGTACCTCACGTGTACCAAGCAAGTGCTCTACCACTGAGCTACAACCCCAGACCCCAGTCATTACTTTAAAAAGTAATAGAATAACTGTTGGTGAAGGACCTGATCCATAGCGGGTGCTGAATTCAGTACAATATGAGCATTATCTCACACAACAAGTAAATGAAATAGGATTTAAGCTTGGGCCTGATATTTTAAAACAAGTGTTTTCTTAAGGTTATACCATATATTGATAATGGCATGTATAAGAAAACTACTACTACTACTGCTGCTGCGGCGGTGGCGGCTGCTGCTGCTGCTACTAATATTACTAAATTTTAATTGAGTCTAGAAGAGAAGTAAGTATAAATACTATTATAATTAATTAAGACAAAACTGATCAATAATTTCATTAATTAGAGATTTTTGTAAATTCTCCAAGGTAGAAAGACGATATGTTTATCATCTGTCAAAAGTATCAAAGTGGAAACATAAGAGTGTTCTTTGGGGAGATCCAACATGGCAGCGAGCGTGGAGAGATCAAGTCTCTGACCTCTTCAGCTGTGTGGGCATAGGGAGTCGTAAACAGTCTAAATGCTGTTTGCTCAGGATCACTAGGCAATGCTGAGCTGATGTGGATCTGGGGCGAACAGTCTGGGCCTCTCAGAACACACACTGAGCCCAGATCGGCTGAATTCAAGCTCCCGTTCGCCTGCTTCCCACAGACAAACAGCTGTGACTCAGCACTAATCCATCCGGCTGAAACAACCGGTCAGCCCCTCTGATCCCATGGAGGTAAATGCCAACCGAGCCTTCATAGGTAGTGGCCACAGGTTTGAAACGGGGCTTGGGAGAGACAGTAAGGACCCACCCCTTGCATTGGTCACCCGGCAAAGGGAAACAAACTGTCGCCATTTGCAAGAGATACCACCATGGCAGAGAACTGACGTCACCAGACTGCGGCGGAGGAGATAACTTCATTGAAACCTGCGGCTACAGGTGTGTAATCCCCTAGCCTTCCCTCTCCACACATTGGGGAAACCTCCCAGCTCTCCCGTGAGCGCAATAGGCAGACCAAGGGAATCGGAAGTGGCACGGGACCTGCAGCGCAGAACTCCCGGCTACTGCTCCCACCAGTGCTGACAACTGGGAGTTCATAACCCACTTCAATCTAATGTATGAAATATGATATGTCAAGAGCTTTGTAATGTTGTGAACAACCAATATAAAAAAAAAGAGTGTTCTTTGTAGAAATACACTATAATTCTCTACCTAGCTAAAGGAAGAGTATATAATGAATATATATTTCTCTGGTGAAAAATTGAGTGGTTCAGGCCCAAGAGGGAGGTGATTTCTCAAGATTCACTTTCAGAGTACAGTCCCCTAAGCCACTGCCCTGTTCTGAGTAGCTTTCTCCATCATTTAGATATTTAAAGCTGAAGGAATCCAGGAAATGCTTCACAGAAGGGCAAACCAGTTCTGCTTCTTCAGCATTTCAATAACCACATAATTGGCTCATTCTGATATGCAAGTCTAAGTGAATCACTGAAACCTAAAGCCAACATGAGGCCTCCTGTCAAAAGGACCAGACTCTTTAAGGACACATGCTACCTTTTGGTTTAAAAACAAACAATTCCTTGAGTTAAATACATATAATCTGTTCTATGTCAAAATGGGTACTTATACCTTTGCTCTCGTCCACAGCTGAGTGAGAAATGGCCAGCCCGCAAATATAACAAGTCCAGCTGTAAGCATATAACGGTAGAAAAAACTGAGAACCTGGTAATGCATTCCAAAAAGAATGGAAAATGAGGTCATTGAATCATTGAATAGCAGTTACATACATATGAAAGAAATCTGAAAATGTAATCTGGTAAATTACTTACTAATACTTCAATTCCCAAGGTACAGATTAACAGGTGCCCAACAAAATGGCTCAGAGGAAAGGTCAATAGTGATGCAACAAGGTCTTGAATAACTTGAAGTCTGTTTTAAGAGATTATTTATGAAGAATATATACTCTGCATTGAACTAAAAAAGTCAAATAACAAAAAATAAATAAAAAACTTTGCACAAATCTAAAAATCAGGAAATTTTCCACTCATAGATTATTTTAAAAGTAAGATAAATTCCAACAGATATATTTCAATGGCTTTGGCTCATACAATTTGGGTGGAGGGCAATCCACAAGTATTTTAGAAAAAAATGTAATTTTTGAATTAATTTGAAATGATCACAAAAGTTTGCCTGGTTTCTTTTTTTAAACATTTTTTTAAAATTGTTGTTGAACCTATACTTTATTTATTAATTTACTTATATGTGGTGCTGAGAATCAAACCCAGTGCCTCAAACATGCAAGGTAAGTACTCTACCACTAAGCCACAATCCCAGCCCAGTTTGCCTGGTTTCTATAAACATTAATGACAATAAATGAGCCTTATCTTATTTAAGTTTAAACACAGGTACATATAATTACAGATATAATACCAGAAGTAAAATATAATGAACCCACACCTAGGCAATCTTATATTAAAATCTCAATCATCTTCATGAAATAAAGGTAGGTTTTTCCTCACCTAGATAAGAGAAAATCCCAATTGAACTTTATGGTTGAGCTAAATAACCTTTTCCAAACTCAATTTAAGATGTCATTAATTGTACAATAATTGTATTTTGGAATTTATAACCATAAAAAATGTATTACATACTCAATAACTTTTATATTTTATTGCTGGCAAGAAAAACTTTTAACATTTGTAGTACATTAAGTGGGTAATTATAAAAGGTCAGTATCATTTACTTTATGACCTTTTTCTGATTGAAAACAATGGCTGCAGAATGTTATCAAACTATTGATAGGAAAGGAAAGGAAATACCAGTCCATGTAGGAAAGGAAAGCTAATACCAGTCAAAAGATTATTTTTTGTTTCCAGTAGTGAATGAGTACAGAGTAGAAAGAGATTATTCTATACAATCAATTTGAAGATTATTTTCTAGGAGGAAAATGAATTTTTATGTTTCATTTTCCATATAATCTACCAAAAATATAAAGATGGAATATAAAATACTTTCAAAATCATAGCTTCCATTAAAATTTAAACATACATGTTATCTTCATTATTAGGAAATTTATAGGAAAAAAATGTAAAACTCTTGTAAAACATGTTTTCAAAATGTGTTATCTTCATTTAATAATTCAGAGGCATTCTATAGCAGAATAGAATTTTCTTCTTTTTATTTTTTTGGTACCAGGGATTGAACCCACAGGTGCTTAATCACAGAGCCATATCCCTAGCCCTTTTTTGTATTGTTTTCAAAAGTGAATAAGTATAGAGTAAAAAGAGATTATAATGAATTATACAGGGTCTTGCTGAGTTGCTTAGGGCCTTGGTAGGTTACTAAGGCTGGCTTTGAACACGCAATTCCCCTATAGGTGCGCCACTGTGCCTGGCTAGAATAAAATTTTCCACAAGGATAAAAAAAACCTTTCAAAAATTATAAAATCAGGGAAAAAGACATTAGAAAAAAATCTGAACTAAATAAGCATATCCAACAACCCTATCCTTTCAAATGGAGAAGTAACAGTATGTTTTTTGGTCAATGTCTTTCTGCCTATGTTTAAAAATAGTTACTAACGTAAACATTTTAATACTATTTTTATTTTTATATTTAAAAACTAAAACATTTTTAATACTTCATGTTTTTAAATAATGGAAGAGCTATCAAAGCTAGTCATCAAAAATTAGAATAGTCAGGCCTTGTGGTATACACTGTAATTCCAGCTACTTATGAGGCTGAAGCAGGAGGATCACAAGATGGGAGGCTAGCCTAAGCAACTAAGGGAGGTTCTGTTTCAAAATAAAAGAAATAAAAGGGGCTGGGATGTAGCTCAGTGGTAAAACAACACTTGGTTCAATTCTTAGAACTACAAAAGAAAAAAATTAGAATAAAAATATGCATAGTGTTATGATGTACAGGTAAGGCAATCTTGAGGATATCCTTATTTTAGGTTCTCACTCCCGGTCAGCTTTAAGGGTGTAGTTTTCTGAGAGGATATTTTGATAAGCAAGACTAAGTTTAAGATCCACTTTGCTTATATAAATATAGAAATCCACAAGATCTGCAACATGATTCTGGCTGTCTTTGAACATGAATCAGCTTCGTTTTAGTGGTTTTACTTAAAAGTGCTTAAAACTCACCTTACATCCTTCCTTTTGAAGCTTTCTAGAATGGTGACAATCCATTTTAAGTCCAACTTGTAAGGAAGTACTATAAAGTACTTAAAGTACTGACAGCACATGTGAATGATAAGGACTAATCTGTCAGTATACCTTACAGTAATAGATTTAACTACAAAGTTTCACTTATCTAGGCTGAAAGGATGAGCAGGAAAGGAGGGGCAGAAATTTATAGGAAAAAAATGTAAATTTCTTTGTAAAACATGAAGATATTCTGGACTCTGAGATGGTGAAACATGTTCAAATATGTTATTTTATGCCCAGTACAATCAATGTTAATTATGTTACTTTTATTCCACAATTTTTCTTATAAAAGATACACGAAAAAGGAAATAGGGTAACTGCTATCTCAGTATAATAAAGATGAAGTCAAAAGGGAAAGGTAAAATAAAAAGAATGTTTATATACAACATTTACATAGTTATAAATAAAGTGAGAGAGTTTAGAGATTTGAGAATATTATAAATATCTTTGATGATGTACGCCTCAGAAATCCAATGCATTTTAAATGTAGATTTAGCTGTCAATGAAGTGAAAAACAAGGCAGCAAGATAGTTACTTACTCTTTTAGAACTGCATACCATATTGGCACTGGCAACAAACAATATACATAGTAAGTCCAGGGACAGGCTTGAATCAGCAGGAAGAATGTTACTAAAATGCCAATAGCAACAAAACTACATGGCAGAAGATGGCTTGCTTTCTGAAAATCAAACATAATATTGAAACACTTCCAACAACCTATGCTAATTGATAGGCTTTTAAGAGATTTTATAAAATGAAGAAAACATTTTACTGTCTTTCAATAGTTCTACAATTAGATGATAAATAAAAGAGCTACATTAAAAAACAAAAAGAAAACAATCTGTCATTTGAGGAACATATTATAGAAGAAAAACTGGATATTGTGAGATTGTTACAGTTAGACAATTCTGAAGTCACAAGTGATCATGGTCCTAAAGTCTGTTTATAATAATAACTTGTTCAAAACTTAATGTATTCTCTCAATTTTATAAATGTTTACAGAATTTTCTAGATAACTCACAAAAGCCTATTTAATCCATAATACATTATAAGACTTAATGTTCATTTAGAACAATGTTTCTATTTATTCAAGCTACAATTTGACATGCTACCCAGGCTACTTCACTGCCCAACTACCACAGGTCCTTTCAGTCATATCTACTCTTCCCAACAACCTGCCAAACAAGGGAGTTCCTTCAAAGTATGTCACCATTGATAATCTCCATGGGTCAGGCAGGCCAATGGATGCTCTGGGCCAGTTACATCAATAAGTATAATAAAGACTTTCAGAAGAGTTAAACACAGCTGGAGAGAAGAAGGGGTGGAAAGGAAACATGGTACTCCTCTGCTTCCATTTCATGGTTTTTCTGTTTTGCTTTTTTAGCCAAAGCTAAATGAGGCAACAATAAACAACTACTTTCTGAAAGTAGGGTATTTCAAGGAGGAAAAGAAAGAGATTCCTTTCCTTTTTATAGTTCTTCCCTGCTGCACAAAATGTTATCAAAAACAAGTAAGAATTAAGCATAAACTAGGACATAGTTGTAAAATGGGGGAGGGGGGCTAACCCACAATATTGTAACTAAGAGTTTGGAGCTGGGTAGATCAGATTTCATACCCTAGCTCCCATACTTTCTCACAGTGGGAATCATAAATATTAAAGATTTCTGAGACTTAGTTTTATCCCATCTATAAAATGGGAATAATCTCATACCTACTTAGCAATGCTTATAATGCTTACATGAGAGTATATAAAGAGCTTAACAAAATGCCTAGAATATTACTACTGCTTAGTAAATGATGGCTACTGTTATTACTTTTATTTTTATTCTCTTTCCTCTCCTTCTTCTCTTTTGCATTAGTCCCAGGTCATTATAAAAATCTGTTAGTGATAGCACTGGAAAGAGAGAAGTGAGAGACAGTAATGGTCCAAGGGAAAGAAAAGCAAGAGTAGTCATGGGATGAAATAAGAATATTTGGTTATAAAGCAAAAGACATCTGAACTAGCAAGGGATAAGGAGAAGGTAAGCATATATCAAAATTAAATACAGAACTTAATTAAGGAGACGTAGAAAATTACATTTCAAGGAAAAAAGATTACTCACTGCATTTGCCTATAATAGTAAATAAATCAGGAATGACTCCAGGATCTGGGGAACACTGTCTTGTAGAAGTGACATAAGCTTTAGAGTCACACCTAAATTTAATTCTGATGCTACCATTCTATTTGCTTGTCAATTTGACTAAACCATTTAGCTTGTCTGAAACTGTTCCCTCATCAAACAATGGATATAATATCTGTTGCAAAGTCATCTCTCATTTTGCTACAGGTGCTCTATACACTTAAAGTTCTTCCAACAGACCACTCTAGCTTACCTTTCTCCGGGCACAAGCTGAGAACATCCTTTTTCTTGTTGGGTTATTCCACCTACTCTTTAAGATTCTTCTTTGGCAATCACCTCTTCTGCAAAGCTTCCCTACACCCCATTCTAATCTGAATACATCTGCAACTATCTGACATTCTAACTGCTTTCCACACTTCCCTTCAGCTAATGCTATACACTATGATATATTATTCCTCCTATGAAACTGTTGAGGTTGTATCACTTCTCAATACTGTAAACTCTACACTAAAGGGAAATAAAAATATTTTTGCAAACAGAACCAAAGCATTCAAAATACTTGAAATGATCTCAATTGTAATGGTCAGTTTTATGTGTCCACTTGACTGGCTATCATCTCCAATTATTCGAACACTATCCTAGCTGTTACTATAAAAAGTATCTTGAAGCCATGGTTAAAATCCATAATCAATTGACTTCAAGTAATCCAGATTTAGTCTACATAAATGGGTGGGTCTGATTCAATCAGCTGAAAGACTTTAAGGGTAGAATTGAAGCTTCCCTAAAATGCAAATTTCATCCACTGGTTGCAGCTTTAGTTGCTGTCTGCTTGTCCAGCCTGCCTTCTTAATAGCCTGACCTATGGATTTAGGACTTAGTTAACCAATCCCCACAATTGAAAAGCTACCTCCTACACTAAATGCTTAATATATATCTCCTACTGATCTCCCAATTTTCCACTTAAGTGAAAATGTTATAGTTCAGCATTTAAAGCCTTTGACTTCCTTGGCCTGTACTGTCAGTATATCTCTTATCAGTCACTTGAACAAACCTACTACATTCCACCCAAATTTATTTTGAAGTTACTATAGCGTTGAAACAATGAGAATTTAAGTGTTAGAAAATATGAGTTTTGTCATTTAGAACACTCAGGACAGTCTTGGGTAGTAGGGCTCAATAAAATTACTTACCATCCCCAGCATAATAGTCCATTTTCCCAGCTTTGCCTATTTTCATCATTGAATTTGCTTTAATTCTCATCCTCTCCCTACAGTCTATTAAACTACCAAGACTTACTTCTTCCTTTCTATCATCACCTTAGTTAAGTGAGTTCACCTTTATTTAAAATGATAGTCTTAATAGGAAAGACAGTAGAATGAATTGGATATAACTTTCTTATGTTCACATATGAATATATGACCAGTAAAACTATATCACGTACAACCACAAGAATGGGATCCTAATTAGAATAAGTTATACTCCATGTATGTATAATATGTCAAAATATACTCCTCCTCTGTCATGGATATCTAAAAAGAACAAATTAAGAAATGACAGTCTTTATATCATCTTACTTAACTTATATTAAGGTTGTTTTTTGTAATGGAGTATAGTGTACCAATATCTGGTAAGTTGATTATGTGTGCACATATCTTACCTACTTTACTTAATTCTAAGATCCTTAACTTCAAAATCTGAACTATGTATCTCTTTGCATAGTCCACATATTATCTAGCATTGTACTATACACTCAATGAATATTGGATACATTCTCCAGATGAATAAACAACTATCAGGTATAAATCTTGCTGACACATCAATGTAAAAACATCATTTCCTTTCCCAAGGACCTGAACATCAGGATAAAGATAAAAAGCAATATTTGGCACAAAACTATGTGGGATTAAAATCTTAGTTCTTCACATTATAGCTGAGTGGTCTTTAGCAATGCTAGTCACTTAGTTACCCTCAGCTTCAGGTTCTTCTTTTGTAAATAGAAATTATAATGTTTACCTCAGCACTGTTATGAGTCTTGGTTAGTAGAATATATTTAAAGTACCCAGTAGACTGCCTAGATATACCCATTACTAAAACACAGTAATTTCTGTGTTTTTTCCTACCATGCACAGGAAATTATTCCTATTTTACTCAGCATCACATATATTCAAATAATTAAAATTATTTTCGGGAAATTATATAAGATACGCAAGCACTGTGACAAATTGAAATAAACTAATGTTCTGCCCTCCATTACAGAAAAATAAAATGTAAAATTAGAAAAGTTATCATTGGAAATGTTTGCAGACTACTATTATCAAAAATATAACATGAAAATATATTACTCTTTAGAATATTTGGGCACTGTAATTATTATTAGAATGAAGAAAAGGAAATATAAGTGGCATATTTTCACTGGTAAATCCTGATTAGCAATTTATTTTAAATAAGAGAAGTGTTTCAATGCAGTAAAACTATACATGTACTATTATATTTTCTGTGTTAAAGAGGTTTTTTAAATGTTTTTCATTGAAATTACAGTAAACTACAATACATTCTTAAAATAAACAGAAAGTTCTATTAGAATTTGGTATTTTGAGTAATTTCAGAAAGTTGAAGGAGAAATAAATTACATAAAAATTATTCAGAAATATTTGGAGCAAGTGATCATAATTTTTCAGCTCCTAAACTTTTAATAGCAGATAAGGTTAATCACATTGCTTTGAAGTAGTTTTCTGATTACCTATACTAGAAAGATATAAAATACTTAAATAGTTACAAAAAAGAGCAGAAATCAATATCATTAACTATAGAATTTAAATTATTTATGTAGATTATAGCCTTCATATGTTATAGGGCCAATATTAATACATCTTCTTACCAAATAAAGAACTAGAGATAACAAAAGAGATCCAATATATCAATACAAACAAAGAAAAATAAAGAGTTGACTTAGCACAAAGACTTACACATTATATGAACTCACTACACATAACCTGGTTAAATTTCTTTCGTTAGTGATTGTTATACTATCATGTAAATCTTCATTATATTTCCTGAACCTACCTTAACTTCTTTACTAATACTTCTTGTTAGGTTGGAATGAGACTTGATGATCAGCAAAGAAACATAAGAAGTCCAACCCACAAAACCAATAGCAACACTGATGCCCAAGAAGAATCTGTCATAAGTGTGATAATAGGATAATCCTTTTAATGCAAGATGAATCAGTTCTGTGCAAAGGGAAACCTATAGAGGAAAAAAACATATAACTTGCACCTGGAAAGAATAAGAAAATCTAAATTTCAAAGAAAGAAAAAAGTTTCTAACAGCTAAACCACTATAGTAAATCAGAGTGAGCTTATAGATGACAAATTTAAGAATAGATTTTTGTCTAAGAATCTTCTTGCAAGTACAAAAAAATTCCAGAATACAATTAACTTTTAAATTTTGACGAAAAGGGGCATTTTAATGTAAACCATTTAAGATATATGTAGTATTCTAAAATAATTCTTTTTGCAGAAATGATCTTTAGATGACACATAGAAGAAATGAAGGTTCTCTACTAAAGGTGCCAAATAATGGAGATTCCCACAATGTGTGAATGTATGTATGTATGCATGTACACCCCCACACATCCTTTTATATCTTTTCATATCAAATGACTCAAGACTATTATAAAACATCACTAAAATAGCTTACTATTGCAGAGGAAAAGAAAAGCTATCATTTAAAATCACAATAAAAACAAACATTGGAAATGCATGGTTTCCAATTACTTGGGCACTTTTATAAAATGAAAACAGAATTCTTTCTTACTTTAAAAGTATATGAACATTTAATTAAGAAAAAAACTAAATAAAAACATGGGGAAAGAGTTGGGAAGAGTCAAAACTTCAGTATGACTCATTAGATCTTCATCTTTTTTTTTCTTTTCCTGGCACTGGGGATTGAACCCAGGAACTCAAACATTCAGGGTAAGTGCTCTATCACTAAGTTACAGCCCAGTCCTTTTTCACTTTATTTGTCCAGGCTGATCTCAAACTTGCCATCTCTGTCTCAGGCTCCTGAGTAGCTGTGATTTGAGCCTCGCACCCAGCATTATTGGACTTCTGATGGTGCAATGATACATGCATGGCATTCTAAAATATTTTACATAAGAAAGTGACAGTAACTTGAAATTTATTTTCTCATTTTAAAAAATGGGAATAAGGTTCATTTCTAATGCTAAGCCAGAAAAGTGTGCCCATAATATTATCTGAAATAAAGAGAAGTATGTCCATGGCCAAAGCAGATCCTCAGGAAAGTTCCCTGGCCTGCCCAATGTGCTGCTGCTCTTCATCACCATACCTTGCCCTTCCACAACTCTGAAATGTAATCAGCTATTTATGTCCACAACACCTGGATACTTTACTTACCGCTTCATCAAACTTTCCCTGTTTTATGTACAATCTTGCTTTTCTTAAAACGTCTACCTGTTTAGAATCAGAGAGCAGCCTACAAAAGAAAAGGAATACATTTAAAATGTTTTCTCATTTCAGTTACATTTGCTCTTGATTTTTATTTTCACTTGAAAAAAAAGGATAGTGAAAATTGAGAAAACAAAAAACAAAACAAAGCAAAAATGCAAGAAAGAAATCTTAAACTAAATTGTATTACTTCTGGCTGTTTGAACTCTTCTAAGAAATAGCTTATAGGTAGATCTAGTTTTCTTGACTCAAAGTTTTAACTATAAAACTACACTATGAAAATCACATAAGCCATCTTTATGAAGAAATGTTAAGACCTTGACAAAGATATTCTGGTTAAATCAAAGTAATTAATGAAATACAGAGTAAATGGCATAAGTTCTATCACTAAGCCCACATGTGTTTATGGCAGACGTGAAACACAAGGCAGGACCATCAATGCATTTTTCACTCCCAACCCAGACAGAACCTAACCAACAATGCAAGTCAGTGAATAACCTGAACCTATTATACTAACCTATTATATATATGGGGAAATACTAAAATATACAGCATTGCCTGAAACTATAGAAACTGAGGAAACATAATAATGAAACAAGTATATACATTTAAACACAAAATTGCAATACAGAGCTTAACTAAACCTACACTCCTAAACTTAATATATTAATGTTTTAAAAATTATAGGAAGTAAATATTTTAAGCAATCATTCTAGTTTCAGGTGGGAGGGTCAGACACTTACTTCAGAATCTGAGATTCTTGTCTAGAAAACACACACCATTTAAAATTTTATGTTTTTTCAGAAAATTTATTAACCTTAGGTGCCTATCTATTACTTCCCTTAGAGTTTTATGGGAGACTCTGATAAAGAATCTGTGCCTATTTCTAAGAGCTATCAGATAGTCCAATCTAATCAGCAGGTTCTCATTTTTTAAACTCCAGGAAAATTCTCCTCCCCATTTATATTATTGGAAATTGGAAGGAAAAAGTACCAGGAAGCAGGAATACATGAAAGAAGAACAAGTGACTTCAAAATGTTGCCTTGATCCATTCTCTATCCCTTCAGACACCAAACATCGTTTGGGAATATTTTCCTGGAAGTTTTAGAAGTTAAATTACTGAGCCAAAGTGAACAGACATTTTTTGAAGATGCTAAGTTGAATTTCCCAAATTTCTAAAAAAGACTTCTAGTTGATCTTTTTCCTTTTGCTTTGATCCACTCAGATTCTTAAATTACTGAGTACACCGTCAACTTCCTTGTAACTGATACAGGCTTACTGTCTATTTCATCGATTCTGATCTTGCTAGATTATTGATGACACTCTCCTTCTATTCAACTTAATTTCCCATTAATCCAAAATGTATACCATCTGCTAAATAATGGTTAAACTCTCTGTTCTTCATCTATCATGTATTTACATCTGAGTTCTTAAATCTTCATCATTCATTATGGTCCACTCCAAATCTCACCTCATACCACTAACACTTTTGTGTGGTCTACTGATCAGTTTATTTTCTTTCAACTAAATTATAACCTCTACATGGATCAAGATAATAATATTCATTAATTTGCCCAGTAATACTTAGCCAAGTGCTAAGCACATACAACAAATCAATAAATCTTAATTGGTTAAAATGTTATCAAAATTCTGTAGACCTAAGAAAGGAAAAAAATAAGAGAATGGAATACATTGCCATTCTTAAGGTATCTAAGGATTTGCTAAATTAAATAAAAAGATGAAAAGGAAGATTTTCTGAAACCAATTACTTATGCTAACTTAAGAAGCCTTCTCAAGTATTAAGAATGAAAGAAGAAACATTTATGCTATATTATATTAAGAGTACTCACATAAAGAAACAAGTCAGGCTAATTTATAATTTTTCATAAATGGACTATTCATAAATCTTGAGACATATCAAAATAGACACACCAAAAGCCTGAAATATATCTGAAAATCATCAAAATATTCTGTATAAACCTCACTATGGCTCCATGACACTTAAGACTCATAAAACTTGTCCCCAATATAAATTTTTTAAAGTTTCATATGAAGTTGAGAAGGGATATGAAATAAATATTTTTATTTATAACATATTTTAAACATAAAGAACTTTTTGAAAAACAAAGTCCAGAATATAAAGTAAAACATACATATTTTTGTAATAAAGAAAACAGACAAAATAATAATAAGTAAAGGGAACTGGGAGGGGAGTAGGGAAAAGAATATCACGTACAAATGAAAATAAATAAGGGAGCTCTGATACATAATTATAAATAAATCTTGAAAGCCATATGAATAGAAAAAAATTGAAAAAAACTATTTTAAAAATAGGGATTCAACTATGTCACATCATTTAATATCCTATTTTAAAAAATAATCTAAAGAAACACGGCAAAGTATTAAGCTCTGTTGTGGGCAGAAGAATTTTTGTTATAATCTATATTCTTTTCAACAAGCTTGAAATATTTCTTAATTAAATCTTAAAATATGTTAATAAGGGATATGTTCATACACATAAACATGTACACATGAGATATATTGGCAATGCAAAATAAACTGGAATTTACCTTCAGAGAAAAAACAATTATGTGAGATTGGGATATAAGAGGAAAGGTAAATTTTTATTGCTGTGCAATTTTTATTGTGTGCACATATTATTTTTCATGAATATTTTACCAACCAGTTTTTTAAAATAAAATATTTAAAACACTAAAATTTAGTCATAGCTTCTGGCTATAACAGAGAAGCTTGGGCATATCAACACTCTCACTAGGACAACTAGAAAGCCTAATAAAATAAATTAAATATCAATCTGAAAGTACCAAGACAAATAAGAATTGAAGGGCTAACATCCTAAAGGGAGAGAAATCATAAAGAAGGAACTCAACTTTCTAATCAAGACATCTGCCATTTGTATCTTGGCCTAATGCAAAAGGCTGAGAATTTGGGCATATAGATGCAGCCCAGAGGTAAATAATACAATAGAGGCTTTGGCAATCTTGCACCACCGGAGTGATAAAAAATAAAGTTTGTAGCTGCTGATGCAGGCAGAAATTAGGACCTAAAAGGCAAGAAAAATAAGAAAACAATTCTGGGTTTCAAAAAAACAGATTTCCTAGAATTATTTTCTAGAATAATTACTTAAACAATTTTAGTAGATTCTGAGGTGACATGGGGGTTTGTTGTCTGTTTGCTAATGGTGCGCTTGGAACCAGTGGCCTCACACAATTCTAAGCCAGTGCCCTTCCACTGAGCTACATCCCCAGCAAAAGAAGTCAAATGAAAATGAGAATATACTGTGTGAATATAAAGCTCAGAAATAGGGATAACTGTTGAGAGCCACAGCCGAAGGGGCCCCAGCAAACTTCCAGCTGCCAGCAAACTTCCAGCTGCCAGCTGATGATTGGCTCACAGTGGCCCCAGCCAACTTCTAGCTGCCAACTGATTGGCTCCTCTGCGGTGATGCTCATTGGGCTATTTCCCTGCCCTTTCAGACCACGGAGCTGCTCATTGGGGGACTTTTTTGGCTCCGCCCACACAACCCAGCCAATCAGCCTCAAGAGCAGGAGGAGTGGGGGAGGTGGAGAGGCTTGTGGGAAGCCGGTGGTGGCAGTTGGGCTCTGAGGGTTTTTTCCTGAGGAGCTGTTTTGTTTGGCTTGTGTGGTTCTAAAAATAAAGTTCGTTTCTTTTGACAAGTGGCTCCTGAATTGTGCCCAGCCAGATTGCGGCAGATAACTACTTGGTGGTATTTATAAATCAAGGTTTAGATCTGGAGGGGGCATAAAAGAAACTTTTATGATGTATTTTTTGATATAGACGCTGGTTACAAGAGTGTATATTTTGTACAAATCCACACTATAAACTTAAAATTTATGTACTCTGTTCACATGCTTTAATAAAATTTACATTAAAATTTGATCAGTTTTGAAACAGGCTAGATAGAAGGAAGATAAGCCATTTTCTTGCACATACTGTAATGAAGAGACTAAGGTAATACTGAGAACGATTTAAAGTACAATTGAAAGCCAGAGGTATTTTTGAGGAAAAAATGGCTACAATGACAGCCAACAGTGCCATCTCAGCTTGAGGAAGTTCTTTCAGTAAGTTTCACAGAGAGGACACAGTTCCTTGTGCCTAGACCTCCTCAGAATTCAACCATCAATCCATAATGGTCAAAATGTCCACTCTAAATCTATTAACAGACACTTTACCAAATCCAAGCACTTTACCATTTTATTATTAAAAGTTATGCCTGATATACAGTATTTTATTATATATAATGAACATAACACATACATTATTTGTTCCATGGTACAGATAAAGTATCTACTTCTCAAAGTCACAACTTTTAGGGGTAATTCTATTTATTTGAATGGATAGTCAGAAATTTTTCAATCTAAAATTCCTAGATGGCACATAAAAGTTAAATTACTTAAAAAACTATGTATTATTTCAACTAATACTTCTTTTATAATACTCTTAGAATTCAATAACAGACTTTTTATCATTTTCCTCTTAATGAATACATCTGCTTAGCACTTCCTTTCTTCTAGATTGATGGCACAAAGCAGTGACACGGACATTTGGAGAGAATTCAGAATAGTAGCAAGATCAATTAAAGGGCTGAAAATTAACTTTCTTTAAGGGAAGGTTGAAGACACCACCTAACCTAATATGGGAAAGAGAAGGTTTCAGGAATAAAAATATATTCTCAGATGCTAATAAGGAAAAAATTGATCACCTGTTCTACCTTTTGGAAAGTGAACTGACATACTTGGTCTAAGAATTGTTGTTCAGAGACTGTTTTCATTTTTAAAAAGCAGTTTAAACATTGACATTTAAGAGTTTAGGCAATGATATACTAAATTAATTTCGCTCTATATCTGTGTTTCTACTTTTCCTGAAATAATACAAGTTTTAGATATGATGTCATAAAATGATAAATTATTCATCTACACTTTAAATAAAGCCTCTGGAATATTTGCAGCATAATTAGCTCTCATGCCCTTATAAAAAAGTAAGACA